ATGAGAGCGATGAGAGGGGAATCTTGGGAGTGGTGCGAATAGCCGGCACATGGAAATATTTCATGTCCTAATACGGATGGAAATACACTGAATATAAAGTTTGAGTGTCTTGAATTCTTTGATTTCTTATCTGCTTTGTGTTTGGACTTGCATTGAAAGGGAAACACTACCGCTCCCATTTGACCTGAGGTCGTGTTCAAGCCAATGATAGCTGCATTTCACATTTCAGTATTATACACAAATGAAACAACATGCAGTGCAGTGTTTGCCAGGAGGGGTGATATTAAGGTGATGAGGTTAAGCAAAAACCAAACGCTCGGGGGCTGGTGTATGACACGCTGATAAATTTGACGCTGTGAAATTTTATGGGCTATTAACATTGCACATCTTGCCCCCTGCTTTCCCAAAGATTGAATTATCCAATAATCAGAGGGAAACAGAGATGCTGTCCAACAGCAGGATGGCTCCAACTGTTCTTTGGAACAGCTCCTGCTTTCCATTGCAGCGGTTCAGTGAAAACAAGACTAAATGCTCTCAAGTGATAATTACAACAGGCCCTATCATGTCAGTATAAATCTGGAGCAAATAACACATTGTTCTGAATTCAAGCCAAACAATTTTTCGTCCCCGTTTTGGACAAACATGTTTTTTTTTTTTTTTCATTCATATGCACGCACCAACACACATAATGCACGCATATCAAACATGCATCTCTTCACAGTGTATCACCCCATTCGATAAAAGGTTGATATAAGCTCTGCAAAAAAGGCCATTTAATGTTCGAGCACCTCAAACAGGACCTCTGATGCACGCACACACATCCCACTCATCCAAACACACACACTCACATTCTTTGAGCTGCCGCCATCCCCGTTACTCCCCCAGCTCCCGCAAGGCATTTAGTATTAATCTCCCTGAAAAGCAAGGAGTTTTTAACTCTGACATCACATATGCACACACGGTTGTAAATCTAACTTCAAATCTTAAAGAGCCCTTTTTTTTTTTTTTTTTTTTTTTTTTGTTTAAAAAATAAAAGCCCCCACCCTTTCTCCTCACTCTTCCCGCCCACATCTTCCACTCTTCTGCTGGACAGCCTTATCCTTCCCTGTGACGTTACAGCAGGCTTGCTCTTAGCGGAAACTTGTAAGTTGTGTTAAATAAATATTGGGGGAAAAAAAAAAAATTGACCTTAGGGAACAGTCACTTTCCTCACATGCAACACATCATCACGTTTGATGGCGTGTTGCAGTTAAAATCTGTTTTCCTGTGTAAACTGTATGAACTGTACTGCATGTGAACTAAGAACCAGCTAGTGTGTGATGCCCTCCCAACACGCACACGCTCACACACGCACATTTGTACACACGCACACACTTTTGTGTAACTTTGCATTGGCAGCCTCTTAAAGGTTTAGCGACAAAGTAACAGTTACCACAAGATATTCCCGTGAATGAACCTTTGGATTGCATTCAGCACATATGCTTTTATTTAGAGCTCTCCGAGCGCTCTTGAAGGGAGTGAGGATGACTCGGGCTTTTCTGTACACATAAACTTCTTGGGAAGCGTCACTGCATAGAAACAATTTACAGTCGTGTGCAGTTGCTTCTTTCTCTAACAGTTAGTGGTTTCTACACCTTATGTAGGAGAATGTTCGAACGTGATCCAGCCGCAGATGTCTGCCCTGCACCTTGTGTAATGATTCACGCAGTCTCCCAGGTAGTCAGGACCACTCTGCCCAACTGTGGCATAAATGTTATCGAACTCATGCGAGGTAATTCAAACTCATTCAGGGTCCACCTGATTTCATTCTGGTTGGCAACAATGGCCTAAAAAGAGGGCAAATGCCGCTATAAGGAGCTGATCCGTAGCCCAAGTCTTGAAACCATGTGTGGACTGCCTTTGGCTCTGATTTTTGTCCTGAATTTATTCTGAACAAAGTCAAGTGTGCCAGCTGCAATCTGTCAGATTCTGCTGCCTGTCTGAGCTGGCACTAATCCTGTCCAAGAACATAAAAGCTTAAATCAATGGATTGTCCACTGTGACCTTCCTGTCTCCATCAGGAAGATCTGTTATAACTGTGGTGATCTCCAGACGTTTTATTGCCACTGTCAGGTAAAAATGTGAGTGTGTCCACTATTTTGATTTATGATCAAATAACTGCAAACATATGACATTCCCATCAGCTTGTGTGCAGTGCTAATTAGCAAATGTTAACATGCTAACATGCTAAACTAAGGTGGTAAACAATGTAAACATTCGCAAAGGCGTCAAATTTAGATTTCTGTCACGAAAAAACCTTAACGCTTCACTGGCGTCATAGTTGTGTTGTCTGTTTCTTGGCACTGTGACAGCATCAACAGACAGGACTTTCTTTTATCAGGAGTCTCAGACTTATGTTGTCTGAATCCACTGCCAGAAGGCAGGGCATTTCCAGTCTCAATGAATCACCAAATACCTCCAGGAAGTAGGTGTGGCTGTAATTCACAGGGGCTTCATCCCGACTTCTTACTGTTACTGTCTACTGTCTAACTATTTGTTGAGACATCCATTCAGATATTTTAATACAGGATTTCACATGCAAGATTTGTACTGTCAACCAGACGGATGCAACCTGGTAAACCTACTCAGATCTCTTTTTAGATGCACTTGCTTATCTGTGTTCGTACATGCCACATGGGGAAATGTATTGTTCACATCCAGGTTAGGTAGATCTCTTGACCGAAGAGGCTGGATCCGGATGCTGCCGGTCCACCACCACCAGTGTCAGAAACTCTCTAATGCACCGGGGCTTCTTTTTTTTTAAAGGCAATGTTGTGAAGCTTTCGGGCTGTTGCAAGTAGGTCAGTACCCCACAATGTGATACTGATGCAATCCAAGCATTTGGTTTCTCACTGACACTTGGTGCTGGTTGCGGATGCACTTTCCCACATAACTCTCAAGCCACATCAGAGCAATGATTCTCTGGGACAACGCTGCTTTTATCTTTGTCCTTTACAAAGAGGGTCAGTGAGCAACAAGCCTTGTCTCAGCATTCCTCCCTTTATGTAATTCGCACCTGTTGTCTCTCAGGTGCACCTTTAGATAAGCCCTGGTTTTGTCCCTAATGTACTAAGCTCGTCTTATCACTGTGCCCCCGTAGAGTTGAGAACACTGTGGCCCTCTTCCCTTTCCTTTCTTTAAGGTTTGAAGACAACTCACCGTCCAACTTTAGTTTCATGGGCTCTTCCACAGCAAATCAAGCCAATTTCTCACTGGCACTAGTCCCACTGGATGGTGGAAGCTGTGGGATTGACACATAGGGCATCATCACATTAATTATTTCCAAGGGAATATCAGTTAAAGATATCTGCAGCTATCTTGCAGCAGCAAGTTGTGCTTTCTTGTACTCATTTTAATATTTTGATTTATCAGTGTTACATATTTGATCTTGGTGTGTTTTAATAGGGGCTACACAGTTATGTTACTCTTTATCTCAGGTGCATTGAATTTAAATCCTGCAGGAGGGATAATACCAGCATGTGTGTGTCAAGTCAGCACAGTCAGCAGAGGACAGACTGCAGCTTTATGTTTTCCAGTCTCCTTCCAGTCAGGTTCTTCTGATTATTGTTAGGCTGCACACGTGTCAAATCACAATGCAGTAGTAGTAACCCCTCCTTTCCTCTGTGTGTGTGTGTGTGTGTGTGTGTGTGTGTGTGTGTGTGTGTGTGTGTGTGTGTGTGTGTGTGTTTGTGTTTGTGTTTGTGTGTTTGTGCGTGTGGTATTGAGGATGACTGCCTGTCATGCTGTTAAACTGATGCCCACTGGCTGTCTGCATATGATGGGTTGTGTCAGACCACCCACGAGGACTGCTGGTGGGCCCACAGGGATGAGAGTATACAGTATGGGCGGTTTTGTAGGTTGTGTGTGTGTGTGTGTGTGTGTTTGTGTGTGTGTGTGTGTGTGTGTGTGTGTGTGTGTGTGTGTTTGAGTGTGTGAGTGAGGGGGTGGAGGGTGGGGGGCATAGAAGTTCAGAAAAAAAATGAAGTGAGGGGGTTATAGTGAGAAAAGCCGTTTTTAAAAAGCTGTGGTTCCAAATAAACCAAAATTGAGAACCTGTTTGTAGGAGAATCTTTCCACTGATGTGTCATGTATTTAAGCCCAAACTGGGGAAAAAAGGGGAAAATTTTTTTTTTTTGAGGTTTAACCAGTTATTTAAACATTGCCAGAAACTCTTACACTGCTGATTGTATGTACGGAACAATTTATCTCAAACATTCTGGTCCTAACTTTAAAATCTGAGAAGTTAATCATGTTTTATGAATTCATGTTTATCATAAAATCACCGTCAGTGATAACTCTGCAGGTTTACAGTATAGAGGTTTTAAAAATGGTTTGAACTAATTTGGGAAACGTAGCATCTTTCTGGCAGGAGCTTTGTGTTTTTAAGCTTCTTATACTAACATCAAACTACTCCTTATCGTGTTATATAACTTACTAATGATGGGTGAGAGATGGAAAAGTGAATGCGTTTGGATCTGTGTGCTTTGTGGCCTGATGGATGTCTGTTGAGAGAGAGCGAGGTGTTATGGTCGAAAGCACATGACTTATCAGTTGAGCTCTTTCTCCCTCTTTTTTGTACACACACGCACGCACGCACACCCACACACACGCACACACACACACACACACACACAAACACAAACTTCCCCCTTCAAAAAGCTGTCCTGTTAGTAGAAGATATGATCTGTGTTTTTCCCTTCACCCGGAGCTGCTGAATAAAAGCCTTCTTTATTTAATCGCCTGCTCTCTGTGTGAACATGTGCGCGTATGCCCACGTGTGTGATGTGATGGTCTCAGTGATCACAGATTTTTCTGTCGGTGGTAAACAGTTCACACATCACAGATCACAGAGTGCATACAGTCCGGACATGTTGCTTTGCTTTGTCTGCCATATGTTCCTTCATACAGCAGGCATTAAGTTCGTGTAGCTTCATCTGAGCATCTTTGTGTGTTTATTGCAGACATAGATGAATGTGCGACGGGTAGACACACTTGCGGCCCTGAACAGACATGCTACAACACCAGAGGCTCCTACACCTGCCAGTGTCCTCCGGGCTACCAGAGGAGCGGAGACCACTGTGTAGGTGAGTCATTATCATTCGCAGATGCAAAACACACTCTCTCTGAAAATGAGCTGCTTTAAAGAATTTGCCGTTTGCGATGTGTCTTGCTGCCCATATCTCCATGACTCCCCCTATACATACGTATGTGTTTGTGTTTTCCGGCAGACAGGGACGAGTGTGCCCTGACCCACTACTGCATGCACAGATGTGTGAACACCCAGGGCTCGTACTACTGCGAGTGCAACGCAGGTCACAAGTTGGCCAGCAACAACCACAGCTGTGTTGGTAAGTCGCCGAAAGCCATGTGTACTCATGTGTGAGTGTGTGTTTGTGTGTTCAGCATCGAATTATAAAAACATTTTTGCTTTAGTGCTTTGTTATTCGGAGGCAGGCTATCAGACATTTCGTGTTGGAGCAGATATCCACCAAATCTACCCAGTTGCCAGGCTGACTTTTTAAATATTTTTGCATACCTGTTGCAACATGCATGCTCAATGCAAAATGCAAGTGTGTATAATAATGATAATTACCTTTATTTATATTTCACTTTCTAAAAACTGTGTTTACAGAGTACTTTACTGGAAATACAAGTAGAGCAAAACCACACACCAGGCCAACAGAGAATTAAATGTATACAGCACATGATGAAACATTATAAGTAAACAAAAGAGCATTAACAAGTGCAGTTCATAAAAATGCATGAAATAAAAGTGACTTATTAAATACAGTTATAATCAGGTAGATGAAAAGGAGAGAGGTGTTAATACGTGGCTCAGGTTTAGCTTAGCAAAGTCTGGTGTTAACACTCAGTGTGTTTCTCTCATCCCCCAGTTTTCTCAGGATGCAGATATTTTGAGGTCAGGAATGGCTTTAACAAAACAAATGGTGCACAAGCTGTTGCTTTGAATGCCTGGAGGTGCAGAGCTATCATGCGATTGACCATGCAACCTGAACCCACACAGCAAATCTCCCGCTGAAGTCAAAGGAAGTTATTGAAAAGGTTGTGCTGCGATAGAGAGCTGCTTTATCTCTGAAACATATTTAGAAATCTATCAAAACCCATGACTGGTTCCCAGCTATGCTGAAACATGTGTATGTGGTTTGTGCTGAATGTGCGCATATTGTGTGTGTGTGTGTGTGTCCTTCTGCTTCCTATTGACCTGCAGTGTGGTACAGCTTCCCTAAGGGAAATAAATAAGCCAGTCATGATCCTCATTATATCCGTATATGTAAAACAACTGCTTTTGTTCCAGATGTGAATGAGTGTGATGTGCAGAGTCCCTGTCAGCACCACTGCTATAACCTGATTGGCTCCTTCCTCTGCCAGTGTGACCAGGGCTACGAGCTGGCACAAGACATGGTCTCCTGCCAAGGTGAACACACACACACACACACACACACACACACACACACACATAAATGTGTACATAAAGATGCATATTTTTAAACGCCTATCACATTCCCATTTTCAACGTGCACTGCCCTGTATTCATTCTCTATGTGTGTGTGTGTGTGTGTGTGTGCGTGCGTGCGTGCGTGTGGGTGGGTGCTCTTGCATATTTTCTGTACAGATATTGATGAATGCAGTTTCTCCAGCTACATGTGTCAGTACCAGTGTATTAACAGCCCAGGAAGTTACTCCTGTGAGTGTCCAGAGGGATATCAGCTCCAGGGAAACAGGTTGTGTCAAGGTACTGCAGTCCTCTTTTTTTCCTCCCCCTTTTCCTTCTATCAATCTTTACTTTTTTAATGTCTTCTAAGTTTATTTATTTATCTATCTTACCCTCCTCTCTGTTTTCACACACAACAAAGTTCCCAAGCGAGTCCTCTTCTCTCCCTCCCTTCCTGCTCTCCCTGAACTCTTTGAAGATAATTGTTAAAGGAAACTTGATCATTCCTGCTATCGTCCACTATTCTACCTCTCAAGCAGGAATGAAACCCACTCTCAACCAGTACTGTCATGGAAAGAATGCAGAGGTTAGGCAACACAAACACAGCAACGCTGTGTTGCCCTGCTAAGCCACCTCTGTGAATTTATATGCATGATGTTGGTTTCTTGAAGTGGTTTTATTTGAAGCTCCAGCGTTCTCCCAGAGGGTGAGCTGTTATTTTTTCCTCTCCCCCTCGGTCAGGTGCAGGCTTAATAGGGGTAGCTATGAATCCGGCCTGTTGTGTCAGGGGGACCTTTTGGTGATGAATCCGGGTTGCTGTGCCAGAAATAGCCCTGTGGTTTGGGGCATGTTTGATGGGGCTATTTTCATGGTGCTGCAGGGAAAGAGCTGCAGTTTGGCCTGTGTGGGGTTGCATCAGGGGCTTCCCTCTTGTGTTTCCTTGCATCTTCCAAGCTGCTGGAAGTGCAGCTACAACCCTAAAATACCATTCCCAAATTGTACATGTTCTGAACTTTCAGTGTTTTCACAGCTCAGTTTCATGAAGCGTGTAGAGTTTGTGTGTGTTTTGGAAGTGGAGGACACTAGCATTGTCATCCAGCTATTTTTGACTATTCAATACTTTTCTCTCTCTCTCTCTCTCTCTCTCTCTCTCTCTCTCTCTCTCTCTCTCTCTTTCTCTCTCTCTCTTTGTCACTCTGCCAATCACCAGACATAAATGAATGTGAGACGGGGACCCATAACTGCCAAGATGATGAAATGTGCTGGAACTATTATGGAGGCTTCCGCTGCTATCCCAGAAACCCCTGCGAGGCGCCTTATGCCAAAACCTCTGAAAAGTCAGTAAACATCATCCAGTTTTTTTTTTTTGTTTTTTTGTTTCACTATCATCAGTTCATTTTACTGAGATCGTGATAATTGTTGTGCGTTGTGTGCAGTCGCTGTATCTGCCGCTCTCAGGCTGAGTGCCAGGGTCTCCCACCATCAATTGTCTACAAATACATGAGCATCCAGGCAGACCGGACTGTGCCAGCGGACATCTTCCAGATTCAGGCAACCAACATCTACGCCAACACACACAACACCTTCAGGATCAAAGCTGGGAATGAGGGAGGAGAATTTTTCCTGCGGGTAAGAGTCAGTGGGAATTTTTGTCTGGCATGAAGAAGCTGCAGGAGGGTGATAATCAGTTAATTAAATGCTAAACTGCTGGTGTCATGATGCTCTCAAAATTTGTAGTATCAAGCTAAATCCATTTAATTACTCACATTTTGACACTGTTATCGCCCTGACTTCACCTTATACAATTACCCTACCTGATATACAGTATATATAACATATGGCACCTGTAACACAGTAGTTACAGTTATACTGTGTTCTCCCCATTTCCTAGATATTATCTAGCACTCTAAGCAAACAAGACTCAGAGTCAATAGCCATGCAAGCACATAGGCAGTGAGCCAAAGGCTAATGTCAAAATGCTAACAAACGCACCATCACAATGCTAACATGTTGTTATTTAGTATAAAGTATAAAGTGTTCAGCATCTTAGTTTAGCTTGTTAGCATGCACATGTACAGCTGAGGTTGATGGGAATGTCAGTTGGTCACAAACCAAACAAATTAAAGGTTTGACCTGTTGATGGCACTGGTTGGGTTCACCAAAGTTACTACAGTTCAACCTGAAGGCAACATGAATGTGTGTACCAATTTAAATGGCAATCTATCCAATAATTGTTGAGCAGTAACTAAAAGCAAAAAAAGTGCGACCAAACTCAGTAGGATTCATCTTCTGGGGATCATATATGTCTGAATGTACAAAAAAATGTCATGACAATCCGTCCGATAGTTGTAGACATATTTTAGTCTGGACCAAAGTGGTGGACCGGCTGCCCAACACACTGACATTGCCATCCATAGAGTTGTGCCACTAGCATGGCTAAAAACAACAGAAACAAATCTGATAATGTAAACTAGGTATGCCAATGTTAAAATTGTGTCAAAAAAGATACATGATAAATCTGTATTCACGTGCTTACACATTAACTGATCAGGGTTTTCTTTTTCTTTTTCTTTTTTTTTTTTTCTTTTTTTTTTTTTGCAGCGTTCCAGCAATGTTAGTGCCATGCTAGTGCTAACCAAGCCTCTGTCAGGCCCTAAGGAGTACATTGTGGACCTGGAGATGATCACTCACCATCTGACCATGAACTACCGCTCCAGCTCACTGCTGCGGCTCACCATCATAGTCGGGCCCTACGCTTTCTGAGCACTGCAATTCCCAGCAGCCCACATACTGGTTCAGCAAACATAGCAGTGTAGCACAGCAGATGCCTTTATCAGCATAAAATACTGTACATTTTCATACAATACATGCATACAACATATAACATATAACATAGGCTGTCCCAGACTCATACAGACGCACAGCAGTTCCAATAGGCTTGCTCAAGACAAAACAGTCCATGCTGTAACCACGTGACCACTGGGCATCTTTTTCTCTCAAGGTGCTGGGAAGCATTGTGATAAAAGGTTCAAGTGTCCTAAAGTATCAGGCACTGTGTTTCAGCAACTGCACTTAAAAACTAAAACACTTTTCATCTTTAAGTTGAAACATTTTGGACTTTAAGTGCCTGAAGTGGACATAAGAAAGATGCTGTATGCAGCATTTTCACCTGCAGTGGTTGTTTGCTACTTCCACACTAAAAACAATTGGGAACAGAGCAGTGGCACATAGGAAAAGAGGCCTAGTGGACACACATCTTCTCTCTACTGTGATCAATCTTTGATGCGACTGTACTTACATTTATCACTTTGTCCAAATAAGAACCGCTTGCAATAACCAGTTTGTGCATCAGTGAAGCACTCTGTTGTAAGAAAGAGGAAAAATCATATTTTCTATATTAATGTACATGACAAATATCCAGTATGAGCATCTTTTGATATTTAAAAAGTAATTTGTAAATCACAGCTTTTGTTGATACATGTTGTAGGGGTTAGTACTGCTGCGCCACGCTATTCGTGCAAGTTTCTGTATAATTTTACTCATGAGTAATAATTTCCAGAGAAGTGCAGAACAGTTCAGAAGTCTAAAGGGAGGGAATTTGCCTGTGAGTTGAGAGAGTGCTAAACTTTGTATGACAACAGGCTTCATGCTCGTAGACTGTACTCACAGAAGTTAAGTCGTGTACATACCTAGGTAACAAATCTGTGTGTGTGTGTGTGTGTGTGTGTGTGTGTGTGTGTGTGTGTGTGTGTGTGTGTGTGCGTGCGCGCGCCTCTGCCTGGCTTTGTTTTTGTATGCAAGCGATTGAAAGTGTGAAACACAGAGGGAGAGAAAGGGAAAGAGTGAGAAAGAGCTTGTTCTCTGCCCTGGGTTCAGTGGATGTGGTTGAGCTGTTTATGCGTTTCTTTGATGCCATCCTAACAGCCCTCGGTCACAGAGGCAATAACAGAGATTTTTGAACTCGACAAACACGCACAGGAAATGACGGCTTTCATAACACGCCTCGGCCAATTGACCGCTCATTGGTGCCACAGTGATTCTCCAGAGGAACATCTGGGCTTTCTAATGTTGGTCCCAGTCAAGAAGTCACACTGGCACCAGGCTGGCTTGCGTGATAAAGATAATTACAGTGCTTTGCCAAGTAGCTGGTTCATGTGTGAAACAGGGGATTATTAAAGTGTTAATACAATGCCACCACACTTTTGGCAGAATGAGAAATCTTTCACTACCTGCTTTGCCTTTCATGACTCCATGTGTCTGCTCTGGCTTATTGCTGAAACACTGTACACTGTAGACACACTGCACTGAAAACCACATTGAAAACCAACATGTTGTCACCACTCTGTAAGTGTAGAAAGTTATCCATCCTTGCCTAAAAGTCTTTCATGTGGTTTCAGCAGTGATCATGCCATAGTGCCTTAGAGGTATAAACTCAAAAAATGTAACACTAATCAGTCATGCTGTCAAGACTGTTAATCATTGAAATGCCTTAATGTTTTTCTCTTCTATTTAAAATATATTTTGTCATATGTATCTTATATTGATTGTACTCTGAAGAGCAGAAGTTATATTGAATATGTTGAATAAAATATGATGGATAAATGGGGCTAGGTGATTGTTTCTTATAGCCACAAGAGCAGAGAAACTGTGGAAATGTGTGAAAACTGATCATAAGAAATGCTGTTCTGCACTGTGCCTGTACCAAAGTGAACAAGATCTGACTTCACATACGGTGTAATGGAAAATGCAGTGGTTGTGTGAAACGCTCCACTGCTCTTCTCATGCTTTTGGGAAAACGTGAGGATGATTTCATCTGAATGTAACAATGATAAATTCAGTGAACATGATGCTCTAGCCATCATATCTATCTTATTTAAAGGGATCCAGAGGGGATATAGTAATATAGTATGTTCAGTCAATGTGTGCTGAGGGACAAATGTGAAGCCTGCACACACACACATACACACACACACACACACACAACATATTTAGATCTGAAATTGGTTGGGAGTGGTTTTATGGTAAGTTGTTACTCAATCATTCTGCTGTCTAGAGCTTTAGTCAGAGCAGCGCTGGGACGTGTAAGATGATACATGATGTGTCATTGTTCCCCTAACCCCATCTTCAGCTCCCCGCTCATTGGAGCCGTGTTTTTGCTGTCCATGCATGATTCAACCCCCAGGAGAAAACATTGCTCACCCACTTTTTCTGTGACGCAACCATGTGCTGAACTTCTTAAAAAGAGCAACATTTCCAGGTTCTTGTTCTTGATTAATATTCCACTCAGAGTAACGCTGAACATAATTAACTTTATCTCCCTGCATATAGCTAGACATACCATTAATCACTGTTAGATTTATTAAATAGATCAAAGCCCAAGTTACTGGCTGAAGATCACAGAAAAGAAAAAGAAATCGTGAAAGTTCAGTAAGTTGGATGTTTGTTACCCTCTGTCATCTCCTTGCTACAGTATCCCAGTGATGCAATAATATAATCTAAACTTGTTTGAGGTCAGATTTTTGTTACTGTTCCACTAAAAAGTCATCTATCCCAACTGACTGTCAAACTCCAAAAGCAAGTGGGTGTATCAGTATCAAGTAATGTTTTGTAACAACAGTCAGTGAAGATGATAGGCTGGTTGAGGTTAGCTCATCATCAGTATACATACTTTTTACTACTCTATAATATCTAGAGGGCAGATTCTTTTTTCTAGTTGGGGAAGAAATACAGTCCACCTGCATTACAAATACCTACAGTATCAGATACATTACAACCAGGGCCGGGTGACAGTAATTTGATTAAACAGAATTTCATTTGAGCATGTCATGAAACATTTGCAAAGCTGTTTTTAAAATATTTTAAATCATGGATAGTTTAGCAGGACCTCAACAGCGGGGCCAGCTCTATGATTGCAAATATCCATGAGTAAGTGAATGAGTGAGTGGTCAGAGATGAGTGATTATATTTCCACCATTTTCAGCCGAATGCAATGTGACAGAGTTGGAGTTTCCCAATTGGCCATTACTTTTTCAAAATGAATTTGCACAAACAGTTTCTATTAGGGAGCGTTTACAACCTGCAGTGTTGCCAACTTAATTTGTTGGTAGATTTAGAGACTTTTTTTTTTTTTTTACAAAACTAGGTATAAAACCAGTATATGGCTGGACCGTGTATGGGAGCCAACAGTGGGCTACACCTCTTGTTACGGGCAGTCATCCAGCCACTCTGATTTCCCGGCTGCTCAGGACCTGCAGGGAAATGCAGTAGCACCTCCAATTCACTGAGCCTTGCCTCCATTATGGCAAATAAACTACTTTCATTACATGCACCCTTATTACTAAAGGTGGCAGAGGAATAACTAAACATAAGACACAGCAAACAGAGAGAGCAGAGGAGAGGGAGAGAGAGGGTAACTACTAAGCTAAAGAAACCGGCAGATTTGAATAGCATGTAAACAACAGAAACCAGCAACCGGAAATGAAACAATGCGCTTACTGCAGTGCAGCAGTAAAAGCACTGTTAAGAAATAAAGGGTTTCCATCCACTGAAACGCTAAAGGGCTTTTAATTTTAAACAGTTATAGGAAGTGTTGAGTTTGCATTAACATGTAATGCAGTAACACAGGAAATTGGAGTGAATGAAAATGATACTAAAACACTATGACCAATTGTACATATGAAACACAGGGAATTTGAGATAAAGACCTGCCTCTAGTTGAGGTCAGTAAAGTCCCTGATCACTTTTTGAGGAAATTCAAGCTAAGAGTCTTTGTCTTCCTGTCCTTAGTTGGTACATTGCTACGTTTCTTTGAGTGGTTTCTGGTACAAACAAAATGGGGACCCACTCACAAAAACTGCTCCATAGCGCTACTTGTGGTCAAAAACTCCACAAGGTATGTTCCACTGTATGAGAGACAAAATAAAAAGATAATTCTGTTCAAAATGGTGCATCCTACAATTTCCATAATGCAATTGTTAAATGCTCTCATCTTCAAAACACAACAGCTTTATAACCACATTTTAGCTCAAGCCCTTTCACAATACAGGGCCTCAAGGTTGGGCACTCTTTTGTAACTGTCATTTAGTGAACCTCGGGTCTTTGAGGCCCCCAAGAGTTTGCCCAGTTTGTATTCCAGTATTTATTCCCTTACATTTATTGTGTTTTTCCTTTATATGGAATGCCCAAGAATGAGGTTCCAAAAAGAAACATAAAAAACCCACTAATAGGAGGGTTAAATAGTGTTTAAGATGCAGCAGAACTACATAAACTCAGACATCCACTGGCTCCAGAGTTATCCAGGTTTAAACTCAGGGTCTAAATCACATAAATGATGTTGAAACTCAAGCAATTAATCACTTCTCACAGGGAAATCACTCACAGTCACTTCATACTGAGCAATTATTTTATGTCGTCCCTAGCCTGTTTTGAGCTCTTTAGAGTGGGAGAGAGGGAGAGAGGTAAGAAGTGTTTTAATGGCAAGAAAAAGAGAGTGCATGAAGAGGTGAGAAATGAGTAGTTTATTGGATGGCATTTGAGATCGGAAAGACATAATGGGATGAGGTCACTTGTTAACACTGGCAAAAAGTGCCACATGAGGGTGGCATAACCACACAAGGGCATTCACAGGGAAACACATACGTGCATGCCACTCAAGAAATCACTAAGCTAACAAGAATATATACACGTCAAACAAATTAGCGGTACCACCCATCCGTGTGTGCATGTTTGTGTATGTAAATTGTGAACTCTGCTGGTATGGTATACTGCTTGGTGCCACTGCATGTGGCTGTTGAACATGTGCCAGGTTGTAAACACTCCCTGCCTGGTGCCCAACCACAGATGTCGTTTCAATCAGCCTTCAGTCAGGCTGAAAAATAAATCCTGGAGGTCCATACCTGTGTGATTACATTCTCTAATTATAGTTTGGAGCAGTAACTCTAAGAAGACTAAACGAGACGGGTCCTCGGGGTGTTGTGAATGTAATTATATCCTGACAATTAATAGGCCCGTTCCTCAGAGAAGAGTGTGTTATATGATGACGTACCTGACTGTTTTTAGATCGCCGGGGAAGCCTTTGAATTATGACATAATTACAAGGGAAAACATGATATACAAGCATGATAATTATCCCCAAGTACAGTAACAGTAAAGGCCTTTTATGATACAAGTTCATATCGGGGAAAAGGTTTATATTTCTGCTACGCAGTGTATCATTCACTGCTGGATCAAGAGGAAATATCATGGTAGGCCACAGCTACAAGTCTCTGAAGTGTTGCTTTATTCCGAGGAGGCTTGATCTATAGTATCGAGTATGCACACACACACTAGCAAAGAAATACTGTATGTTACTGAGAAAAAAAACAGGTAAAGGCTAACAGGCCATGTATGCAAATAGTGGAAGACTAATTAACGCACTTCTTCGCAAAGCACATTTGAAAAAGTCAGGCCGTAAGAAAATGCCTTACTTTTTTTCTTTTTTGGGGAGTACTTCAATGCAAGTTTTAAAGAGGTGATTAAGATGCACAACCTAGCACTCTCCAACTGCTATCACACTGTGAGGATGGAGTAGCTTCTCTGCAGTGTGGGCTAAATGGTCCCTTTTGTCCACCCACACAGGTGTTTTCACTTACATTGCCTAATTAGTCCTCTTCTCAGGACAGTGTAGACATGCACAGGTTGTCCTTGATTGGCATCTCTCTCAATCTTCTGTTAGTTTTGTTGCACCTTTACGAGTGAGATGACTTTCACCTTTATCGCAGTTAGCAAAAATTTCACATTAGTCCCAAATCATTTTGTTTTGTTCATTAATAAAGCCTTTAGTTATTAATTTTATAAGATATGGATAGAAAGTGTAACTGACTGATTCTGGGGTGAGGGACGGTGAGTCTGCCCACTGGGCTCTGATTGGCCCAAAGTCAAGGTGAGCCAGGAAATAGTTCAAGGGAGACAATCCTAACAGGAAGGTCGCTGCTACAGGGGGGCTTCCTCACACACATGTTCAGGTCTGTCTTAAAACAGTTGTCAGGCACCCATCTGAACACTGAAATAAGTTGTACTTTCTGTAATCATTCCTCTTGCTCATATTGGCCATTATGAGATCCATTCCTAACATGCTTTCACTGTAAGTGATGGGGAACAAATTCCAGTGCCCCTGCTCTGTGTGAAAATCTGTTTAGAAGTTGATCTGAAACTAAGGTTGACGGATGATAAATTGAAAGTCTTTTTAATATAACATCCCCTGCCACACTCAACAGTGTCAGAAAACTATCCAACACAGTTCTGCAGCTAAATTTTGAGATTCTCACTCACTCCCTTTGCTCCCAGTCCACTTCAATCTCTCCCACCCTGTCAGCTCACATCTGCCCTGGATTTTCAAGCCTTTTCATATTTTCCACTTCCCTGCCATCCCTCCCAGTGCAAGTTGGGAGAAATCGAGAGAGAGAGAGTGAGTTCCATGATGTGTGTGTATTGTATGTTGCCTGTGTGGGCGTGAGCACATGCATCGTATGACAGCAATGAAGACAGGCAGGTGAGGGGAGGCCAAGGGTGGACGCCGGCTCTTGACGTGCCAGTCAGTAATACTTTTCCTCAGGTTGAGGTGTGCTCACCGGGAGGGTGTGTTACTGCTGGAAAGCACTGTAATGAACAGAAGGCTGGCTCTATGCCTGATCAAATTCCACCGCAGCCTCATATCTATCTTGCCTTCCAAAAATGTTCAGCATACCAGTGGGTTTTATTGACTTGTCAGAGCAGACAGCGGAGTGCAAGCTCTGCCTTGTAAGGTGTGCAGTTAACAGGTTTCTAAAGCAGGAATGTCTGCTGATGACTTTTTTTTTATTTGTATTACTTTTTTTGTGTTTTAAACTGAAATCTTGCTGCTGGCGCTGTAATCGTGACAGGTGGAGAAGTGTTTTTTGACCCTATTGACCTTATTGACTTATGATTGTTTATGGACATGTTTAAGAACATTTAACCTTACTATCTTAAACTATTTTAAACTGGGTAAGCTGTACTTGTTTGTTGTCTACTGTGTTTTTCATTTGTCCGGTTATTGTGTATGCTCTGACAATTCCACACAAATGAAGTTCTTAACAAATAAATAAAGTTATTTTGAACTTGAGTTTGAGTTGAAATTGAAGAGTGGTGATTAGGAGTACAGTATATACTGGGACAGAGGTCATTTAAAACCTTTACTGTGTTTATCCAAACTGGACTTAATCATTTTGGCAAATGTTCCTTTCAAATGAATTAAACAATAAGACAAATACGAGTTTTTGCCTCGCATGTATCATCATGTCCCTACATTTAAGTCCCAGAGCTAAGCATCGGTTTTTGTGAAAAATAAATAGACGCTTATGTTTGAAAACCCCAAAATGCAGTATAAAAGAGTTATTTGTAAGTTTTGCTTTTGCTACGTAGCCAACATTAGCATTAACAGCTGTAAAGTTTGATGCTGAATTTAGCATCAAATTTAATTCCTTTAGTCGCAACGAGCTGTCTTCAAAAGGTGGAAAGCAATGCCAATGTTAGCTCCTGCTTCTATGGATACCACGTCTTTTCTTGTACTTGCGTTAGCATGCTAACCAGCTAGCCCTTGCCCAGAAGACGTCTCGTCACTCTGGTAGTGAGTCACTATAGCATCCAGTCTGCTTTTTAGAGTAATACTGCTCAGAGCGTGTATTACAACCTCGTCTTCTAAATGCAACGATGGCTGAAGCTCAGTGCAACGCCGGTGAGTAAACAGCTGTCCATGCTAACGTTGTCTATATAGCAATAGCAAAACTTAAAAATGCTCCTTTAACATTACTTGGTAAAAGTTTTTAAACCTGTGCCTCTGTTTCCTAGCCTATTTTTCAAGGGGAACTCCACTTATTTTTTACACATTGAAGGTCATTAAAGTTTGATTGCATGTGAAAAAAAGTTGTATAAAACATTTTCTGGCTCCAGGAAGAGAGAAGTGTCTTACCAGGCCTCTAGAGCCCACTTCTAATTTCCTTTTGAGGCTAGCAGTGCAAGGATACATTAGCCACTAGGCTACTAGCATAACATACACAGATGCCAGATCTCTAACCAAAGACAAACAGCATCAAAAGTAATGTAGGCGTCTTGGATCCTGCTCCATCGATTTTTATATATATATTTTTAAATTGTCAACCTTTGTCAATCTTTTAATTGTGCAGTGGACACATTATTACTTCATTTTGATGGTTTGAAGAGTCTTTGAGGATTTTGAAAATACCTTCAGAACAGCTGTAAATGTTGACCAAGCCTCTGGGTTTCTCAGACATCACTGACTATTTATTTTTCAGAGAATTACATGCTTAAGTCTGTGACTCAAATTTGATGGTAATACATGAGAGTCACAAAATGGGGATGAAGTGAACATGCAAAAATCTACAAAACATCTTCCTTTCCAAAGAGGCTGTCCATGGTATTTCCCACACTGCTGCAGGATGTGAGCAAACATCAACTGGAAAGCAGTGGTTTGACTTTCACTGGTGAAACTGAGTCAAGCAAAAGAAGCTATGGTAAAGGGCCAATGCTGACAGATGCTACTCTGCTATCTGTCTCATAATGAGTTTAGCCTCTCCCCCCTCTTTCTCTGTCTTTCTACTCTTTCCTCTCACCCCCTGTCCTGCAAATACAGTTAACTGCATGACCATCCGCGATGAATGGCTGTTAACAGCTGCCTCTTTTTTGATGGTTGCCTGTGAGAGCATGTAATTGCATTTGGCCCTGGGTGTACATGCACTCATTAAACCAGTGTCAGTGCCCATTACATTCCAAAGCAGTGCAACTCAGGTACAGAATGCAAATCCCAGGCACAAACGGAGCGTGCCCTGTGGATGTTTGAGTGCTGAGGAAAACCGTAGCTCAATGCAAGACCACAAAGAAGAAACTCTGTTGTATTAATTGTTTTGAGGGTAAATTTACCTTTTCCAAGTGAAAAAGTCTTGCTGGGGATTTTTTTCATTTCATTGTGTAAATGTAATAATTCAAACACACACACACAAACACACACACACACACACACATTATCAAATCTAAAATAGATACCAGCAAAACACAGCCAAATATCTCACTATTAGTAGTAAGAGGATGTGCCTTGTTGAAATAATTTAGCTGGTCCCAGTTGTTAGGGCTCAGAGAGGATAAGATCTGCTATGCTGGGACCCGATCCACACTCGGATCAGATGCAGAATTCCAAAAATGCCCATCTTCATGCCAAGATTCAATGTTGGACCCCTTTTATTTTGTTGAACCATCTTATCTCTTTGCATATTGTTCTGATATCTCCCCCTAAAAACATTATGAAGACAAAACATTTTTCAATGAAATTTATCTGAGAACTCTGACCTGGATCTTCTGATGGGAAGGTGGTGGTGGTGGGGGGTCTTTTTGAACTGATGTTATGGAACTGATTTTGTTGTTGGTGAAAAATAAACTACAGATTCCTCAAAACCACAAAAACAGACCTAATGTTCTCAATGGCTTTCAGGTCCTGTATCCATCAGTTATTGTGATACGTTATGTCATCCTGTGTCCATTATTATGGCTGGGGCCTCTCTGCTGTGTGAGACAAACCATCAGTCATACAACAGTCAGGAAGGTGCACTGTCTGCCTGGATTCCACAGTTACACTGCAGAGACAAAGAAGACGTGACATCTCATGCAAGACACCCAGTAATGGACATTCACTCCTGTTGTACTGCTTGTTCTTCATCACAATACGACATGTCACTGCATTCATGACTTATGAGACAGGGGATACAAGCTGAAGGTAATTCAAGCAATAGGATGAGCGATGGCATTATTTGTTTGGGCCCCACATGTCAAACGCTGCAGACATGAGACATACTGCAGGTGCAGCCTGACACCTAGAGGACAAACTGCATATGCACACCTGCGCATACACATGTCACACCTATGATCACCACACCCAGAAAAACCAAAGTAATGATAGATGAGAAATACAAATTATGCCTCTTATTAGCAGATAGTTGCTCATATTTCCTTCCTTGCTCACTCAGGAAATGCAGTTGTTATGTTATCAATCATAAACTGGAAGAACAGTGAGGGGTGTAATGCTGTAATGGTCCAACAGATGGCAAAGTCTTTCCAGTTTACAGTGTGACACAGGCCTTACCCTTGAACTAGTCCTCTCTCTGGACAGTGTTTACCACATTGTCATATTCAAACACCACATGGAGTAGTAAATGACCGAGCTGTCAAACCACATTTCCACTCATAAGGTTGAACTATAGGAGTTGACACACACAAAATCACAAACATAAATATGATAAATGAAGTATTTATATTTTTCCAGCAGCATTGAGCATTTCTACAGTCGTACTGAAACTGCTTAATATGCTTCAGTGTGAAATATTTCTGTATAATTAGGCTATTAGAGCTTCTACAAGTAGTAGCCTAATATGGACCGGCTGTACACTCCCTATTAGATGGATGTGGTCTAAATCTGACTGACACTGTTCTAACTGTGTGCTTAAGTGTTTTCTGGTGACTTGAATAATGAGCTATAAAGAGGAGACAAAGGGAGTGTATGTGTATGAGAGAGAGAGAGAGAGAGAGATCCCTCCATCCTTCCTGGTGGGAGGTTTGAGATGCGCTGCGCAGACCCGTCCGCTACCGACGCATCTTCCTGGCCTGCCCGCCCCCCCTCCCTCTCTCTCCCTCTCCCTCTCTCTCTCTCTCTGTCTCTCTTTCCTCCTTTTCTGTCTGCCACTAGCCTACCTGAAAGGAAGTGCACAAAGCTAATAAGAAAATCTGGCGTGTCTGCCGGGTCTTGCGAGCACTATGCTGCGGTAAAAGGCCGCCGTTTTGCGGTGTTTACAGGGGATGTTAGAGAGGGACAGAGGCACCGCTCTCCCCGACGGACCGCGCTGTGTCTGCTCTGCTCTGCCCAGCCCGCTGCATCGCTGAGCGGCCTGCGAAGCACACAAGATGTCGACCAGAACGCCATTGCCCACGGTGAACGAGCGTGACACTGAGAATGTAAGTGCTGTTATCGAGAGACACCGGTGTGTTACTGGACGTGGGAGCGGAATAATAATGACCGGGGATCTGGCTATATGGCGCACTGGTCGGTGCAGGTTTATGACAGCGCTTTTTGGGGGCTTCAGTGTTGCAGACAGACTCGACCAATGAGCAGTGTGGCTTTTTTCTCTTCTTTTTTCCCCTCTGACGGGAATAAAAGCATGGAGCCCAGAATAACCTAGGATAAAGGTGCAGTTTGGTCATGTCTGTCCCAGTTTCTGCCTACACAATAAGGCTAGCCATAACAACGCACTGCGTCAGTGTGCTGGCATTAATGGTAACACGCGAAGCTTGAATGTTAACGCTGTGAATAAAAACGTTGCCTGTGTGGCCTGTGAGAAAATGGTGTTGCTCCACTCCTACAACTGAGGGTATTTTCTAGTCCACAACGTCAATAATTAGGGAGGGTGGGGGAGGATGTTGCCCTACTTTTCAATGGCAACGCTTGGTAGCATCGCAATGTGACATCCATCACCTATTGGGCCCTCTTGTAACTGCACGCTTAGTGCTGAGGAGGAGGTGGAGGAGGGAGCGAGTTATTATTCACCATTCTGCTGCCACGACACTGATGAGCCAAAGCAGCACATAGATGTGTATTTATTTAAAACAAAAGAAGGCAGAGAGATGGCTTAAACCGTGGGAGATTTCTCATCCACTGTGTGAAGGAATGTTTATATTGACCACCCATCGCCCCACTCCTCTTGCGCATACATGCAGAGTACAGCACAGTAAAGAAAAATACCTCTTCTGAGATCAGTCCGAATGAGGACTGCTGTATGTATACTGACAGACTCTGACATATCTAGGTTCATCTGATTTTTTTTTCTGCAAACAAGACGAGACACAGACTTCGTCTAAAGCCTCCTTGTATTATATTGTGTTACAAGCACGAGCAGTGGAAAATAGCTGGAAGCAGTATTTTATCTCCAGATTTGAAAACAGTGCTTTTATTTTTGCCCTGCATTACAGAGTATATGAATCTGAATTGCACCTATTCAGGTGATAAAATCCTAATTAGTAAATGCATTTCTATTCTAGTAAAGTTATATAACTTAACAAACCTTAATGTTAAGTTTGCATGATGGTATCAGCTCTCTGATTGTTCTCTGTGTTCAGTAATGCATTAGCTTAGTAGACTGCTAATGTAAGTGTCTAACAGTCTAATGCTGCTTTAGGTCTCACAGACTTGGACATAGACTGCTAGGCGGCTATTAAATCACTGCCTCAGCAGGGCTGGCAGTAGCCAACCAGCCTAGCCTGCCTGTGTTTGACTCCAGCATGCAGCCCCAGGGCCCACTAGCAGCTGAACTGCATTGCATAACAGCTTATTACTCAGAGGGCAGAGTGGCTTTTAGTGCAGCAAAATAGAAGAAGCTCTTTCCTGCCTTTCTTATTTTTATGTGTGTGTCTTTGCACAGGTATTGTTTTTTTTTGTTTTTTTTTTTATGTCTGGCCTCCCTGAAGACACGACGTCAGTGCTTGGGAGTTAATGGCTGGGCAAGTGAAACAAACTTTTGTGTAATTAATCGAGCACTAGCGCTCTAAATCACCTACTTGTCCAGATGCTCCTCGGTTAATTTAGAGAATAAGGAGCCAGGCCAAATGTGTGTTTGTATGTGCATGCGTGGCTGAAGGATGAACTGGCCATATGACAAAGCTGATGTAAAGTTGATGGAAAGAACTAAAGTCACTTCAGTGTGGATATTTACCAGCTTACCAAGTGCAAGTTACACAGACTGCTCTATCATGGAGATCTAAAAGAGGAATTTGGTGCATTAGAAACAAGGATGCTGACTTAAATTGGCATCTAGTCAAGATTTTGCTTTGCCTACCTTTTTCTATCTCTTTCTCTCACACACACTGTGACACTGTGGAGTGTTTGAATCATGCTGTGTGGCTCTCCCTCTGTCATGATGTGGGCTAGCTGAGGTGATGTGCACCCTACAGGGTGTAGCGTTTCCCCGGTGAAACGGGAGCAGGGGAGCCTGGGTAATCAGACCAAGGCTTTATTCTCTGGCTGGGTGTGGTGCTCAGGAGCAGAGGATCATGGGATCTCTGACCTGGACTGACATCAGCAGCTGTTGTAGAGGAGACGAAACAGACAGCAGAGACTGTGCGTAGCCTGTGCCAGCGTTGTGCTTACGGCAAGCTGTTCCTAATTCACCTTCACATGCCATATTACAGGAACGCTTGTTGTTATCTGTGGAGACTCTAACATTGTTATAACTCTTGACTGCACACGCTGTAGGTATTCTCAAAGGCACAAAGTCAAATGGGTTCACTTTCTTTCTTCAAATCTTGTCTTGTGGCAGATAAAGTCTTTAGGTTAGGAGGTTAAGGTGTCACAAAGGGAGAGGAGGGAACCTGATTCTCTCCCACACAGTTTTTCAGTGGGCTTGCTTGCAGGGTACTTCTGTGTGTATGTGTATGTAAATGTAGTCATATATGCTCAGACACACATATACACATGCACATGTTGAACAGTGGTTCCCTCACTTGGATCTGAGACTGAGTTAATGGGTTCATCTCTGTTTGCACAGCCAATATCCCAGCTTTGGCACACACAATCCTCCACTGCAGCACTCTACTGCATTGTTTGTATGAGTGCAGCCAGTGTAGCAAGAGGAGGAGTCCTTGTGGAGGTTCAGGGACTTGTAGTTTTTGTGTGTATATAAATTAAAGTTCCAGTCAGGGAATGAGGATGTTGCTTATCTCCACTCGTTTGGCTTTCCTGCAGCACTCATCGGTGGACGGCTTTGTTGAGCCCCCAGTCCCCCCAACAAAGTCTGCGAGTCGTCACAGCCTGCCACGATGTCGCAACTCTTTCACCTCCACAGAGGAGCATCCCCATATTGGCAATTATCGCCTCCTCAAGACCATTGGGAAGGGAAATTTCGCCAAGGTGAAGCTGGCACGACATGTCCTGACTGGACGAGAGGTGAGACAAGTTTTTATTTACATTTTATAAATCACTGAGGTAATTCTCAGTTTGTCCTTATTTAATACTTAATCCCAAAGCCTATGTCAGCCTCGCTCTTTCATTGCTACATGTTAACAGTTCGGGCTGCAGCTTACTGTTGCTTTCATTATCAGTTAATATGCATATTATTTTCTTGATTCATTGCTTGATTGTTTGGTCTATAAAGTCTGAAAAGAGCAAAAAATGCTGATCACCTCCCAGAGCCCAAGTTGTTAATTACTTGTTTTAGTCTAAAACCCAAAGATATTGAACTTACCATCAATGAAGACTAAGAAAATCATCAATTGTTCACATTTGAGAAGCTGAAAGCGGTGAACTCCCTGCATTGTGCTGCACTTAAATATATTTGATTCCATCAACTGGCTAATTGAATAATAATTTCTGCTACAGTGACAATGGAAAAGAGCTCACTTGAAAGAAAAATAGTTCAGATTTTAAGTGTACCTAAGGTCATGTCTCATCTGCTCATCTCAACTCACATTTCTCATTCGTGTTCCAATTTTATACATCCACCAGAGAAACCAGGGTGTAGCAGAAGGATGTCACCATACAGTATTTATTTTCTTTAAAGAGAGCTATTAGTAAGTTTTGTTATTGGTACATAGCCACCGTTAGCATTAACAGCTGTACGTACCAGTCTAGAAAAAACTTCTTTCCTTTACTCGTTAAGAGTTCTCTCCAGAGGTAGAAAGCCGTCCTCTCATTTTGCTCGGTTTCTATCACTTTTTTTCTTCTACTGAAATTAGCCAGCTAATCAGCTAGCTCAGGCTCAGTCACTTTCTGGTACGAGTCACTGTAGTGTCCAGGCAGCCATGAAGAAGTAGCGCTGCTCTGAGGGCATATTATAACCTCTTGTCTTGTAAATGCAATGCTGAAGACTGATACGTGAAGAGCTGTTCATGCTAACGTTGATTATGTAGCAATAGCAAAATTTACAAATAGCTCCTGTAACTCTTTCACAGGAGAATTATGCTTGAACAGGTATTTTGCCCATGAGACACTGATTTGCTCCAAGTTAAACCTAGTTTTTTGACCTGTTCTTACTGTCAGGAGAATGAATGATCTCCTGTCATGACGATATTGTACTTGACTATGTTAGTTCTCCCAGTCAGGTCAGGTCAAGCTCTCTGTTTCTGTCTCTGTCACACACACACAGGCATACACTGCTGACCTGTCAGAGTGATAGACGTCCTGCTTTGGTGTGTCAGTAATTAAAGCTCCTGTCTCCCTAAGGAGAAAACAATGACCTGCGATATGTCCACTGTGTTTCACTCAGCAGGACCCATGGCATTCACTGACAGCCCTGATCCACCTCACCTGTCCTCTCATGTCTATGTCTTAGCCCCTTGCTTCCTTTAATCCTTGGAGTTACATTATCTACCTGCTCATGTCAGAGTATTTGTGGCATAAATATTCTCCCAGGTGAAACTGCTGACAGTTTGATCCATCCTGTGTCCCTTGATGCTAATATTAAACAGGAATTTTGGGTAATTTACTTTTAGTTTAGTTTAATTTATTTGACATGAACATAACAATATCATTAGAACTGCAACATACAATTATGTCAAAGCACCAGATGCATTGTATTTAGTGTTTGTAGTCCAATGCTAATTTACAACAAAACAAATACAACACGCATGGTACAGGTATAAAAATATACTGAGTTAGTGTGTTGCAATCTCAGCTCAGTGGGTAAACAGTTTCCAAAGTTCTGCTCCTTTAACACAGCATGCTGCCCACTGTTTTGCTGAGAAGGTCAGACACTGCTTTGTGTGCCTGAGTGCCTTTGCTGGCTCATCAGAATGCAAAGACATGGATCAGAGTGAGACAGAGAACAGGTGGAAAGAACACAACCCACTAAAACTGATGCTATCTTAGCTTGAACCTAGTAAGTCTCTAACCGGCAAAGATTTCACCCACACTTAAAACAAACAACAGTTATACTTTTTTTGCAAAACTGTAATTTGTTTTAATGTGAGAAAGCTTCTAGATGACAGAGTGTCCTCTATCTGCTAAAGAGGGTGACTCTGGGATGTGAACACACATCACACTCTCTCAGACACACACACATGCACACATGGTCAGCTGCACTGATGGAAACATTTGCCTCCACCATATGCCCTGATCTCCTACCCACTGAGGAGGGGCCATCACACAGTATTATTATTTATCAATTTAATATTTCAGTTTTCAGTGAAATCACATCATCACACATAAATCGACTAATTATTTCAGCTCTAACCTTAACATATAGAAGGTTTTTGAAACATGTACCGAAAGAACCAAATATAGACATGGAGACAAAGACAACAAAGCTAAAAAAAAAAAAAAAGGTGAAGCAAGCTTGAACATACAGCTGTTGTATGTGGCAACTGAAGTCTAGTCAATTTTATTTACCATATGTGACCAAAAATCACAAATTTGCCTCACAGCATTTTAAAATCTGAACAGCATATGACACTATCTATTATTAGACCATCAATCTGTATAAGGAAGAACCTCCACAAAAAACCTTTCTTCCATGACGGATAAACACACAACAGATGTGTATATTCAGAGTAGATGGAAATAAAAATAGTAAAATGGAGAAATAGAATGACACTATTAGGCAAATAAAGTGCAAATTAATACAAAGACTGTGGCTCAGAGAGTGACTGAGACGGATTAGAAAAACGGGTTAGAGCTGTATCTGTGTGCATCTGGTATATAGCAGGAATTAACTTTATATGTAGTATATAAATTCAGGTCAAATTGTTCCTGTGTACTGAATGTCCAGGGTTACATACTGTATAAACTGTAGTGTATAAGCGTAAAAGTGCATGGCAATGTATAGAACACTGGAATATAAAGTGTAATTAATGGGTAAATTAATGAATTACTCTGGATGCAGAGGCTCATGTGCATCAGTTGATCCATACAGTATAGTGTGGACAGTCGGCTTTGACATACATGTGACAGTAAAAGGATAATACTGTTGTACATTCTTGTACATTTTAAATATCTTCTTCTTATGATCTTATACTCTGCTAAAATAGTTCCCTTTTTGCGCAGACATCATGACCCTGTGGTTGTGAAAAAAAAAACAGTTCAGAGGGAAATAAAAGTGAAGAGGAACATGTCAAGCACTTCAGCACACAATTGATGCTATGACTAAGTTTCCCCTCCCTGTCCTCTGTCTGAATATTCACGTGTACATGTTTTATTCGCGCGCACGATCACAAGACCTACACACGGTGAGCAGCATATGGCCCGTGTGTTACGAATGCGCTGAATAATTAACAGTGATGCACGTTGCCCTTCTGTCATGGTGGGACTGAATTATTCACCCTCAAATCCATTAGAAAGAGAACACACACACACACACGCACATACACACACACACACATGCACACTAACACTGGCATATGATGTGATGCCATCCACGCATTCATCAAATCACTCAATCTGAGAACACAAAGGGAAATATTGGCACAGTGCTTCGTGGTAAATGTAATGAATATCTCTGACTCATTTAAAGGGAATAGTGGAAGTTGGAACAATGGAGTGACACATGAGGACAGCTCTAACACCTGCAGGCGTAGATCAACACACACACACACAGACACAGACACGCACACACATACATGCCTACACTTGAATTTTGTCCATGACAGGAGGAAGCGGAGAGGAAGGGACTGAGGTCTGTCTGTGTGCACCTGCCCACCTAAGACAGACTGCAAAAAGACTCCACCTGCGTACTGCGTGTGTCTACACACAGCGAGCCTCTGTGCGGTCTTTCACTGCGCTCTCTCGTCTCCCTGATACACTCTGTTCCTTTCACAGCCACTACATTGGTGTTATTATGGAGTTTAGCTTCCGGGTTTGGATGAAATTAAATGTCCCATCATCTTGTAGGTCTCAGGGAAACCCTGCTCAGGATGAATAACCTGCATTCTCTCCACCATGACTCAGCATTTGCTTTCTGGTTTTCCCCTTAACAGGCTGCTTGGGATTAGGGCCAGAGTCTGCATCCACTGAAGCATGCTTATTGAGCTCTTATAAGGCCAGAGTCACAGTAATGCTGTTATAATAAATTCTAATCAATTCTTTCATGATATCATGAATCTCCAACAGCAGTTTCTCCCCTTTCTACATTCTATAGAGAGGTTGGAGGTCAGGGTTGCGGTTTCTGTGTCAGAATTTTGTTGGACAGTTTAACATACGGGATGGCACAAAAGGAGCTTAACTTGCCTGAGTCTTGAGTGTGGTCTTGATAATTCAATGAGACAACACATGTTGGAAATAAAGGACCTGCTGACAATCGGAAAAATTGATCTCTGGCTCTGACATAGTCCAGAAAATAAAACAAATATGAAATTTGTTGTTATATTCCAAAAAAATATGAATGTATGAATTAGTTGACTATTAAGGTTAAACTTAGTAGTGTTGATACAAACTATTCATTTGTTTATTCCATAGTATAGACGTGAGAGGCTGATAGGGAATGTGGGGAAATAGAGGGGGACAACATAGAGCAAAGGTCCCCAGCCTGATTAGCAGGCATGTTGTGGTTAGAGGGTAACCACCATCCCAACTGGACTAACAGTGTGTCCCAATTTATATGATACACAATAAAAAATTTATGATGTTCTGATTTAGTATACTATATTTGTTTACAAGACATTAACAATCTATACTGGTTTGTGCAAACAGGGGAAAATAAAACATTACTTAAGCTACGAACAGTTAGATATTTTAAAAAATGCACAAATGATTTTGTCACCTCACCAGAGTAGTCACACCACCAGAGCCGCGAGTAGCTCCTCCTTTTCCATTGTGAATTATTTTATGGGACAATGGTATCCTGTCACATCAACACCACGCTCAAAAATCAAGAGATTTTAGTATGCATGCGGGTGTTTTTGAGTGTATGTCTCTTATTCTCTATGCACTTCAATAGTAGTAAGAATCAGTTCATTTCATTGGAGCTGCTTTGCCTAAAAACAGCTCCAATCTGAGCTTATTTCCTGGCAGCTAATGACAATAGCTAACAGTACAAAAGAGAATAAACAAAAACACGTTTGATATGTTTAATGTTTGGTTGAAGAGTCTAAATTCCTCTTGAGGCCCACAGAGACCATTAAATGGTGTGAACCAACCAGGAACCTACTACTACTGTCATCCTCAGAGACCTGTACTTTTTAGTGTGGCTAAAAAAGATTCTCTGGTCATCTGTCTTTTGTTCGACCTCAAACTCAGATTGTGCAATAAAAGTATATAATTATTGTTGAATCCTTTTGTGCAACAACAAAAGGCCATATTTATTATTTCACTGTGATTACATTATATTGTAAAACTGCTCGTCAATCACTTATCAGCATAATGAATGGGCTTACTGGTGAGTCTGCAGTATAGCTCATCTAGTGGCTTTGTGAAAGCTGCTGAGCTGTCAGAAAGTGAGGTGAGCAGGTCTGTTTCAGTGTGCACTTTGGGGTGATTATTGAGATGGATGGATCAGACTGCTGCCCAGCGAGATCTGCAGAGCCAACAGTAGATCAACCTGTACAGTTATATACACCAACACATGGACTGTTTACTTCAGCCACTCTCTGTCCATCTGTCTCTAGATCGTCTGTGGATGCATTTGCATATACCTACTATATATTCACCATCATGAACAAATACATATTTATCGGTCTGTTTTTTTTTTCCGTATCTGTTTTTTATACCTGCGATTCAAAGCTTCTCCTCTTCAGAAATCACTGAATAGATGAGCTTTAAGGTGTGTTCAGACTGAATAGCACCAATTCAGCTGTGACATGTTTTGACAAAACCTCTTCACAGTGTAGTAGTGAAATAATGAGGATAGTTCATTTGGCTGTACAAACAAAACACGAATACAAAACCAGAATTAGTTCTGACATCTTGATTTTCTTTCACCACCCCCCACCCCCCCATCCCTCTCTTTCTCTGTCTTTGTCGTCTTTCCTCTCTTTAGGTGGCGGTGAAGATTATAGACAAAACCCAGCTGAATCCCACCAGTCTACAGAAGGTGAGTCTGTGTTTTATGGCCACATGGTAACATTAATGTCTTGGTTACAGTGCTCATGGCTTTTCCATTACTCATTCCTGAGTTCTTGCCGCTCTGTTTCTTTGCTCTTTGAACTCAGGATGTGCTGTTTTACATAATGTAATCAGAAGTAGTCAGGAGAGACCACAAGGCATGTTTAATCTCCACTTCCACCCCCCCTTCACTCTTGACTCTATGTTGGTTTGTGGTTAGGAGCAGCTAAAAATACCCCTGCCTGCATGTTTGTCACTTACCCTTGTCTAGCAGTCATAACCAATTACAACAAAGGGTTTGGGACTGTTTCCTGATTACTGAGTCCAAATCCAGCTCTTTCTGCTGATTAAATGCACACGCACACACACACAACCTTTTTTTTTTTTAACTATATTTATGGGGACCCATCATTGACATAATGCATTTCCTAGCCCCTTACCCTAACCTTAACAATCACAACTGAATGCCTAACTCTAACCCTAATCTGAATCTGATTCTAACTTGAACCACAAGACCACAAGTCTTAACCCCCAAACAGCCATTTAAACTTCCAGCATTTTAGTCCCCATAAAGCTGTTGGACCCCACAAGTGGGCTCCTGGTTTTTGGACCCTACGAATACAGTAAAACAACCCCCCAACACACACAGAAATGCACACACACTCTCACATATTCATACACATCATTCCTCATGGTAGAGTAGACCATGTGGAAGGACAGCAGTCAGAGCTACAGTATGAGCCAGCATCACCTACTGTGACTCTAAAAATAATGCAGGTGTGCAGCTGACTGACAGGAATTCTGTTCATGGTCATGACATTATCGTGGCGCGGCGCACCACTTCTGCTCTTTTAATCTTACGCTCACTGTTTTACTGTAAAGGAAGAACAAAATCATGAAACAGCTGCCGTGGTGACTCGTTTTAATCACCACACCTACGTAAACGGCAGCTGATGTCTTGATGGATCTCCTGGCCTCTGTAAGCCAACAAAGCGTCTTAATGACCAAATAATGACAACAATTAGCTTCCCTAAATGTCTGCCATCCAATATTGGTCTGAATGGCGATGAAGGGAGTGAACTCACAGTGTGTTACTGGAAGAAATTAATGCTGGGCTAATCAAACATGAGTATTATTATGAAGGGCTTAATGGGAGACAAAATGTAGTTCTTTTTGAAATTCTACTTGTAGATCTGTAAAACAAAACAATTTGTAGCCTATCAAGGCATTTTTAGCATGACTTTGTTCCTGACATTGTTCTCCACGAGCAAAGCTCATCTGTAATTGTCTTGGATCTTAATGGGATCCGACTGCAATTCCTCAGCCAATCAGTGCGAGGATGCTGTGAGAATTTCAAGCTCTCAGTTCCATACTCATCTAATCTGACTGAGATAAATTTCATTGTGTGAGCTCTTTTGTTAAACAGCCTATTGTGTAGTTTCACACAGTGGCGTAATGAACATTTAGAAGCGGTGTGTGTGTGTGTGTGTGTGTGTGTGTGTGTGTGTGTGTGTCTGTGTGTGTGTCTGTGTGTGTGTGTGTGTGTGTGTGTGTGTGTGCGGCATTAAGATTCTGAATATAAACTGACTCTGACTTTACAGATTTGGGTCTTGTCTAGGTCATGATGAGTGGTTACATACCCGATGGGTCGGGTTGTCCGCTGCCTGGTGATGAACGTAGCAGGGCAGACGTATCATGTGAGACTGCAGACCAATCAGGATCGCTCTGATCAATTATTCAGTGGGCCTGTCAGATGTCAGCTGCAGTAGACCTGAGAGGGTCAATATGTAGAAGTCTTACAGCTTTTTATGGGGAAAGAGCTGTTATTGGTGTGACAGCATGTATGTACGTTGATGTTGTTGTTTGCGGATACATGTAAATTCATGTGTTAAATCTGGTGTGTGTTTGTGTATCTGTATTCAAGTGTAGAGATGCTTATATGTCTGTATGGAGCTTATACTGTATGTTGTTGTATATTTGAATTGTCCTCTGCTCGGTATTATAGATTGCTGTAATGGTATACACCAGTGCCATCTGCAATGCAGAAGCTTGTCTTATAATGCAGCAGTTGTCTCCTGGATTGAATCGATTATCTCATTGACTGTGAGTGCCCTATACGATCCTTGTGTAAGCTCAACTATGGATGCATTAAAAGGAGCATCCACTTTTAGACAGTTTTTGCTTGGCTACTCCTGTGATTTTGGATTTGACAGAATAATATCTGGCAAAAATGAAGACCAAGAAAAGAAAAACATTGTCAATCACTGGTTTTTATTCCTGTTATTTGAGATGGTTAACAAGTTGCGGTTCCAGAAAACAAGAATCAAATCTACAGGAGCACTCTGCATCATTTTACCCTCCAACTATGTTCATTCAGTGGAATCTTCCCTTTTAATTGGAAAATACTGCTCGGTGCTGTCTACAGCTTAAGTCTTCAGTGATGGAAATGTCTCTCGCTGACATCAGTCATTTCAGTATTTTTGCTTTGGCTGCTTGTTTTGTTGGAGGCAAGTTGAGACTGAATTTCACTGCGTTCCCCAAGGTTGTCTGGGCTGCTCCTCTTGCTCTTTTCCCATCATGACCCTCACCCTGGGAGCAAGAAAATTTAACAGAGAATGGACGTAAAATTTAAGAAGCCATACACAGTTTTAGTTTTTTCCCCTCTATCCATGACAAAGTGGTCATAGTAGTTGTGCAAAGTAGCTTCTAGGGCAATAAATTAATCAGCACAGTGTACAGTTTCATGGTTAAAAATGTCATTCTGTATAGCTGAGCAGGCTATTTCTAGAGGCGGATATAAACAACAGACGGGCGTGATTATTGATTCAGTGACTCAGGCTTTTTACATGCATGAAGACCAGCGGTTGAAGGTTTCTCTGATGCATCTGAAGACTGAATGTTGTCTCCTTGTCTTGCTCTGCTTCAGAATTCATAAAACATTTTGCACTGAGGATAATTTTTTGATTTATTTTTTTTTTTGTGATCCTGTTTGTTGGTCAGAGTGTGTGTGTGACTGAGGTTTGAGAGGTCGGATCTGGCCACATCCCTCATCAACTCACAGTTAACAGTGGCTCTTTCATGTTACCCCGTCAAAATGCCACTGATCTCTCTTTTTATGGTTTCAGAGGAGTCAGGCTGTGGGCACACCATCTGGCACTGTAGGCACAGCCAGCACTGATCCATACAGCCACATGCACACACACACACACACACACACACACACGCGCCTACATGACACATACAGACACACACAGGAGATCCTTTGGTTTATGTTGGCAGAATCTAAGTTTTTTTAGTGTTTCAGTCATAGTATTGGCAACATTTCACATGCATGCATTCATTCCTGCAGCTGTGTAGCCAAGCCATTAATTCACTTATACACACAGGCATCCTCTCATTTATCTCAGGATTTAAAGTCGTGTTAACAACGCAGATCTTAAAATCAATGTTTTTATCACTTATTTTCCTGAGCTTATCCTTGTCAGTGTGGTGTTTCCGTTGGATTATTTGGTTTTTAAAAAGAGGTAAGCAGAAGCCAGAATGAGTCATGAGGTTAGAATGAAGCTCTGATCTGTTCCTTTATGGCCCATTGGCGCTCTCTGCCCTGGTGTGACTTTGTGGTGGTTTCAGTGTAACAGGAAATGAGGTCAGCTGAGCTTCCAAAGCACCTCCTTAGATCCGCCACAGGAAATGCATCACAAGTCATCTGTGGTCTGGGATGTTGACGTTGTCATGGTTTTTAGGCATTTTAGCTCTAAAATAGGCCTCTCCGTTAATCCCCTCTTTCACTGAGCAAACACTGCTCTCATCCCACCCTCCCATCGCTCTCTGTCTAATCTGTAAATAAGAGTTGTTTCTTTTCATTGCTTCAACAAAGACAGCATCAGCAAAATGTTAAAGGTTATATGATCAACTAGTCAGACGTGCAGACAGAATCAAAGCTTGCGCTATTAAAATGCAAGACACATTCACATTTGGAAAACGTTGCAATCTGTTTGACTTGTGACGCAAAACAGGCTGCAGAGAGTGAGGAGAGTAAATGACACTGACAGCTTCTCCAAACACTAAAATCTAAAAGCCAAACTAAACTAAAACAACAGTGCCAACCCTCTCCCTATCTTATATCTGAATGCGATTGAATGATGTTTTCTGATTTTTAAGGCAGTGAGAAAGCCGTCAGAACAACATGTGTATTTTGTGACAGTTGTAAAACGGTCACCATTGGGTCAAGCTCTCTTAATGGCTGTTGTTTATGTTTGTCTTGTGCCTGCCACTCTGCATTAGCCTGCATGAAATGCTGTCGAGCCCATGGGCTAGTGGAGCTTTGGTGTTGTTCAGATGAGTGGAATGTGACTAGACAGACAGCACTATTATAGCACACAGCACTGTAATAGCTCAATACACTTCAGCCCAAATATCGTGATATATTATTATGTTGCAGTTATAAGAGATACTGCCACCAAACAGCAGTTCAAAGTTTAATTTGTCACATGCCAAGATACAATGCACAGTGAGCAGTGAAATGAGGGTTGAACTCATCAGCCTGTGCAAAACTGCAAAACTGCAAAAAAAAACGCATATGGAAGGAATATTACAATATTCAGTATTATTGAATATCGGCTCAAGCCTACTGTTGTCCGAGGTTACTCATGATACAAACCAAATGTGGAGGCTGCTGGGATAGATGGCAAAAGTGAAGTCTGCTGAGTTGGCTCTTGGTGTTATAGATCATGAAAAACACATCTAGAGAGATACAGACGGAGAGAGATGTGCCTTTTCTTGTAGGGGGTTTATTTTCAGCACCTCAGGAGTAGAGGACAAGACAGGACAGGACACTGAATGTCAGTGACACTTCAGATCCCTCTGCCCGCCTGTTTGTCTCTCACTTTCTTTCTCTGACAGACAGCAAGCAGTGGTTATTTACTGATACATGGTTTTGAGCTACAATTTGTGCACATGAAAACATGCACACAGTCATTAAAGGGATGAAGTCTTCCAGGCTACTCATCCTATCAATAATCTTCATGTTGAATGAGCAGCTGTGCTGCTGTGACTGAAATAGTCCAGCCAGTTCCTGTAAGTGCTCCCAGACTGATATCTGCTGTTCTGCTCCTTCTGCATGGGGACTCTGCTGTAATTAAGGCTAGTTTGGGAGTCTGGGCGCCCCTGGGCGACTGGAAGTAGGTCACTGGCACAGACTCCTGAGATTCAGGCCCATTGGAAACGGCGTGCTTTCATGTGTGTGATCTGCATTTTGTTTTTTGTAGCTTGTAATCATTTTTGTCAATCACTGTCTCACCTGCCTCACCTGATGGACCATTTTAATTAATTTTAGTTGGAAAGTAAATTTTGCCTCGAAGGAAGTTCAGCCCAAATATTAACTACTTGTCCTGTAGTGAATACCTGTCTCACCTTGTCCAGAACCACCTCAAAAACTGCTTTATGCCATGCTGTGACTCCCCTTTGTGCCTGTAGATATTATTGATATTTAAACTAGACTGGATCAAAGCCTCCAAACTCATTATCTCCTTTCATTCGCCATGGTATCTACATCTCTATTGAGCTTGTATTGACAGCCACTGTGTTTGTTGTTGTCGTGTTCCACCGCCCTTCTCAGATTTGTTCTAATTTTTGTTTCCAAGTGGCTGCACGCGTGCTTCCCATGTGAAGGGCTTTAGGGCAATGACGCAAACAACAGAGAGCGATACAGAGGGACAGAGAAAGAGGAAGAGATAAGAGATTGAGATAAAACACTGACTCCTTAGTCCATCACTCATTCAGGATAATAAAGGAGAACTTCTGTCTTGAAGGATGTGGGGATGGATGCATATTTGAGACTGTCACTTATATGTATATCCTTGTGTACTGCAGGACATTTTCTGGTTATTGTGTCAGTATATTTCCACTCTAATTGACTTTGTTACCATGGGGGAATCTCTCAGGCCAACATAACAGCTGATGAATATGGAGCTAGGCTCTCCACACTGGAGAAGCTCACTATTCTGAGCTGCTCAGGAACTGAATGATTTGGGGACAAGAAACACAGCCAATAACAAATTAAACTTTAAATAAAATCTGCATGCACACACATTACTTTAAAATGTCTGATTTAAAATGTACAAATAGATTGCTTTAATGATTCCAAATGGAAATTGCAGTGTTACACAAGTCAAATCACACATAACATTCACAAACAAGGAAACTGCACCATAGGATAAATATAAATATAGATATTTATAAAATGGTGGTACCACCTGTTAATATGCTGTATATGGTTGGCACATGACAACATATTACATATGCAGTTACCATTAAACAATTAAAATTAAAATCATTTAACTTTAAAGTCTTAGTGAACAGAGTTAGCAGTTGTGAACAACTGATCTCTGTTTCTGTGACATATCAGGCCTATTTCACACATTCTTTAACTATGACATTATTCTGTTTGTCCACAGAATATTTTACCCTTGAACCTGTTTACACGTCAGATTATATGTATTTATAATGCACTCTCATAATCTTTTTCTATATTCTAAATAAGACCTAAAACAGTTAAACATTAACTGGAGTAAATAGTACATGTTTTAGGAACTGCGGATTAATGCACATTCGATGTCCTAGTGAGTATTTCAGCAGCAGGATGGTGTATGTGGGAACTACGTGCCCATGTTCATTCAAAATGTCACCCAGTACTGCAGTATGGCTCGTTAATGCGTTTAAAAAATTTTTTGGACAACAGTGGAGTTCTATGGTACAGAGGAATAATCTATAACAGGCCTTGGCTGCACAGACAATACTTGTTAACAAGAAGAAAATCTTTGTTGGTTTTCTTACTCTTTTTTATGGGATTCTTTAACAGTAAGGAAAAAAAAGACAATAAGCAATATTCTTGAATCCCTCTGCAGTAGCTCTCTGTACACTGTGTGCAGGGTCTAATGAGATGAGAAGTGTCAAAAAGAAAGAAAAAAGAGGCAGACAAGCAAGTACAGACAGAGAACAGAAGAAGGACTTAGAGAGAGAGAGAGTACCTGCATGTTGTTGAACCAGACTGTAGCTGAGAGGTCCCACAGAGTCGGGCCTGCTCACACTGGTATAATGGCTGCGTTTGATGACCTAGAAACATAGACTATCCCGGCACTTATGTAAGACTTAAAAGGACCATTAGAAAAGTTGCATGCACACACTGGTATACACACGCGCATAGAGACCACTACAGTGTCCATTCTCATTTTTTTTATTTGACATGTTCAATAATGACATGTTGGGTAATTGTCAATTTTCTCAGTTTAAAATAGGCTGGGGATGAAAGCATCACTCATGGCCTTTTTGCTCAATCAAAGCGTTCTGCAAATGGGCAAAATCTGTGTTCTGTCTCCGGTAGCAGTAGATGCTAAATCCCAGTTGAGTGAGTGTTGAAATTTAACACTCAAACACACCCTCAGCAGAGCACGACTGGGAGTCAGCAGAATGTAAATGATTCAACAGCACCTCTAAGTGGCTGAAGGAGCTCATCTGACATAAACAGTCACACGAAGACTGTGGAGACACGGTTTTAAATGATTATAACTCTGAATGCTCTCCTCTCTGACTCTGCACTGATACTGTACATGGTGCTCTTGGAAAACTCGTATATATATAGGACTAAGGCGTCAATATGATGTGAAGATGCTTATATTAGGCAGCAAATACCTAACTGACACGCTGTACTCTGCTGGTGCTGGCTGTGCTGTTTGAATGGGCGGCTGGCTGGACTGCAGCGTGTCAGTGGAGTCGTAATTCTGCTCCTTATCTGTATAGGGCAGGGTTTAGTGCGACTTTGTCACTGCATCAGTCATATTGCTTTACACAGTAATGTAGTCCCATGATCCTCGGGTCCTTTCATGTTCCTGCAGAGTGTAATTCAGTTTCAAATGTATACACAGTTTAGTATTTATTGTGGCTCAGTTCCCTTCGTTTAGCTCACCAATCGGTGCTTAATAACATTTCCCCACAGTGCTTTCACAGAGCTGACGTGCAGGTTCACTGGTTGTAATGTCATTCAGCATATTTTTGGATGCATTAAATGTCCTTCTGTGTCTCAACAGCTTTTCAGGGAAGTCCGAATAATGAAGATACTGAATCACCCAAATATAGGTAAGTTCAAACTGGAGCCTGCATCATGACGACAGCAGAGCAGTAACACCCAGTACCAAGCTAAACCAGTATAACTTGCTGTCGGATCAGTGAAAGAAACATTTTTTGTGTTTGTGAGATCCTCTGATTTCCTGTTGTCTTTTTTTTATTTTCAGAATTCATTCATACTCAGATACCAGTTTTAATTCAATGAGGGTACTGGTCTAACCAGAGCAGTAAACCCAGCTAAACAATGTAGAACCTAAAAACAATCTGCCCTACTGCAAATAGCCCATTTATTTTATCCCTGCCTTCTTCTCTTTCCCTTTCTCCAAACTCTCCCTGCAGTGAAATTGTTTGAGGTGATTGAGACAGAGAAGACGCTTTATTTGGTGATGGAGTATGCCAGTGGTGGTGAGTGAAGCATTAATGCATGTCCACTAAATGTGTGCTATTGGTTGATCTTGTGAGCGTATTTATTTCCACATTTATCAGTTCTAGAGCAATTTGATAAGCATACACACAAGACAAAAAAACAATGTCAGTACTGTATACCAGTAGGTCATGTAAGTTCAAGCTGCCTCTAATGTAATATTCTTCCCAGAACATCCTGGTCCTTACAAATCTCTGACTGCTAACTATTCATCATCTCAAATGCTTAGATGTAGAACGTGCCATTTGGTAGATGCTTACCTCACAGTGAGCATGAATACATTATTATGTGAACCCTAGTTGTGATGAAGACAACATAAACTGATGACAATAAACTGATTGATATATATGTACATTTCTTCGGTCTATTCCAGGAGAGGTATTTGATTATCTAGTGGCTCATGGCAGAATGAAGGAGAAGGAGGCCAGGGCCAAGTTCAGACAGGTGAGTCATCAGTATTGCAGCGCTCGCACCTCTCTGTCGTCATTCCATTACTGTTTTCATTGGGAAGACTGCATGCACCAAGATCAAGCTTCGTCACCAACTGCAGAGGAAAGATGGAGCGCAGATAGCTCTGGTCTGAGAGAACGGGGGTTGAGAACAACTTCCTTATAGATGCTGCTCTGACACCTAGTGGTGCTACAAGAGCAGTAAGGCATCTACACCAGTGTATGTATTTAATAGTCTCTGTCATGCTTACTTATGGCCTATAATGAACAGAATTAGAGCATCTATCTCTTTCTCTTAGTTTTCCTTTTACTCAATGAAGCATAAGGAGGATCTTGATAAATGAGTTCTTTCACATCTTTTGGGTTCGTAATTAAAATCCCTCTCATTTAATGGCTTTAGATGATTCAGAGGAGCTGCGTGTGACACAGTGTGAGCAGTTTGTGTGTGTCTGTGTGTGACACATTTAAAAAGGTAGTAGTTCATGTGTGCGCCTGAGTGCGGGCAGGTGGGTGGCACCTGTCAAAGAACAGTGTGTTTGTATGATTGATACTGTAGCTATTCTGGCATATGTTAGTGAAGTGTCCCTGTCAGCTGCCATATAGCAACTGTTGAGTGTTGACTTGCATGAGAAATGCAGTTTGTAAACCTCAGAGAAAGATAACAATAGCCCTGTGATGCTCAAACATTTTTCTGTCAAGCCCCCTGTCCCACTGAACAAAGTTTTATCAACTGCTATATCAATACTGAGGATGTTAGCAAAAATTAGCTTAATTTAATTGTATTTCCATTGGCATATGGTGCAGAATAAACTTTAGCTGCCAGAGTTTTTGGACATAAAGGACATAATCAAAACTTTCCTGTGACATTTGCAATGAATTTGGAAAAAAGAAAAGAAAAATGTCCATAATTTACATTTTAATTTGGTAGCAGTCTTGCTAACGTAAAGCTAACATGAAACCTTGCTAGCATGAAAGAACTCTTGTTTGTTTGAGATAAACCATGGTTGGGTTGTAACCTTGCATAACAATGCAAATTTTTTTCGTGTTTAGTGTTGTGTGGTATTAGCTTCTTAGATGACGTGTTTTTGCTGCTTTTCTTTGTTTTTGATGGTCAGTTTTATAGATATATACATTTGTCCATCAGTCTTCTAACTACTATTTTTGAAATGTGATATAAATTGTTTTCTTTCTTAATCTTTAATATAACTGTAGTGTCTTATGATGTGTGTGTTTTTGTGTTTCAGATCGTGTCTGCGGTGCAGTATTGTCACCAGAGGAGGATAGTACACAGGGATCTAAAAGTGAGGATCTAAACTAGTACTCTATCTGAGACTCTGACATCTGATTTCTCCACATAGCATCCATATCTGGGCGTTGTATCGTGAGAAAAACATATATAAATTAATGTTTTGTCTGTCTTTTTGCTTGTCTGCCCGGTCTTTCCTCACCTCAGGCAGAGAACCTGTTGTTAGACGCTGACATGAACATCAAGATAGCTGACTTTGGCTTCAGCAACGAGTTCACTGTGGGCAGTAAGCTGGACACGTTCTGTGGCTCTCCACCATATGCTGCTCCAGAACTCTTCCAGGGAAAGAAGTACGATGGACCAGAAGTGGATGTCTGGAGCCTCGGGGTCATCCTCTACACACTGGTCAGCGGATCACTGCCCTTCGACGGACAGAACCTAAAGGTGTGGGATGTATCACAGGCTATGAACAGAAGCCTTTCTTACTCAAGTTGTTTATCTTAAACCTTTGTACTGTACCTTCTGATTAGCCTAACTTGTCACCATGATTAAGTTAACACATCATTGCATTTCACCTCAGGCAAACACATATTGATAAAGGGCACAGTATGCTTGAAATGAAATGATTGTCATATCGTCTAAAGGAATGGTCACACCACAGTTGTGTCTTGCAAATATTTACTCCGTCATCACTCTGCTTGATATTTATTCATTACCAACATTAGGTCCCATTTCAGGGGTTAATTGTAGGCTATTATCATTGTGTTAAACCCCCTTACTAACACACAATCTGACAATAATGATCTCTTTATGCATCAACTGGCCAGGTGTGCAGAAGTGGGAAAGTGCACTGGGTTTGAATTTCTCTCCCAAGCTCTCTTTTTTCTTTCTTCACACAACTAGCGCTGTCATTTTTCCTGTTTTCAACTGAGTGCTACACCAAATGCCTTATAGATGCTGCACTGACAAATGTCTTTGGAAAGAGACTGTACGAAGGTGTGCTGCGATTTCTCCACTCACACAAGTCATTGCATCTCATCTATAATGGCAGACTTTTTGCTCCGTCTTTGTGTGTGGTTGTTCGGAACAGGTATAACAGTTTTTCCTTTGGACATATACGCAATATATATACAAAGTATGAAACGACACGTTACATCACGTTTCAAAAATCTGTTGCATGGTAAAAAAAAACAACAATAATAAAATATGCATGCATCAAAATACATGAATAATTCTGTTTTAGTCTGAATTTGTAGACATCAAAGGCCACGTTAAAAGAAAATTGCAAAATGAAGTGCTACAGCCTGGTGAGGTATTCTAACTGAGTTAGGATGCATCAACCCAAAACTGGGTTACTTGAATAACTAAATTAAGACTGGAATTTCCTGTGTCTGTCGATTGGAATGAGACATTGTAGAGATTAATCCAGCCCACTTTAATAATTCAGCAGTTTTGGAAAAAGTCTTGAAGCTGCAGTGAATGTAGCAGGTCAAGAAAATATTTATAGCATACTATTATTATGCATATTTATAGCTGTGCTGAGTGATCTGTAGTCTTTTTTTAAAGCTGCTCTAACAATCAATAAGCATTGACCATATGACTACACATAATGTGACAGGCGTTGCTCATGTTGATGAAATGACAGAAAATTATCACCCAATTGTTCTATTTCCCTAAACTCTATGGAGCTTTTTAAGCGCCTTTCAGCACATTGTTTTGGTTTAATGGCCATTTGTTTTCAGCCACAACAGGCAGCTGTTTCTAGCAAAAAGGCTCTTAAGCCTACTGTAAACTTCGAGCACTGCCAGTGAACCTAATGAAGCAATTAGTAGCTGAAGAGCGAGATATTTCCTTCAGGAGTTAATGTAGACCAAAACAGAGCAAGACAAGAGTAAATATTAGACTTATATTCACCAGTTGGCCAGCAACACGACTCCAAATAAATGCTAATGTTGCTCTGTATCTGCTGGGTGAGTGAATAACTGTTTGCAAAAATGTTTGCCGTAACAAGTTTATACTGTGATAATGTTCTGTTTACAGCTTGATCCACCGCCACCAAATGGCCAAAACAATAATAATAAAAAACTTAACTGCTCATTTCTCATATTGGTTTCATCTCTGAATGTCTGTGGCCTGGTGTGCAGGAGCTGAGGGAGAGGGTCCTGCGGGGAAAGTACCGCATTCCTTTCTACATGTCCACAGACTGTGAAAACCTGCTGAAGAAACTACTCGTGCTCAACCCTGTCAAACGAGGCAGTTTGGAGGTATTATCAGCATTTGCACTGTTGCATCTTCACAGTTTTTTGCTCTCCATTCACAAATGTTTTGCACAGGAGCAGGCTAACAGTGGAACAGAGGCAGTCCTAATGATTTAGAGCATGATTGTTGTGCGTCATCTGGAAGCACATAATTGCTGCTGTTGTTAATTATGACCCAGCAGAACACTTCAATTTAAAGCCTGTCAGATGGAGATTTGGAAACATTGTTCATCTGAGATCAAAGAGTGGTCTTACATAATTCTTTGATGAACACATTTTGAAATAATAAAACTTGAATTGAGTTTGTTGAAGCACTGTAAGAAATAAAACGAGATGAAAAACAACGTAATATTTAAGCATTGTGCTCTCACTGCATCCATGTGATCTGGGAGGGTTGGAGCTTGTTTCTCCTTTGCAAACAATATATAGGTGTCAGTTCATTTCACAATCAGTCTGTCCAGAGTCGATACCACCCCTGCACTCAGAACCAGGCTGAAGTTCAATAGTAAAGATTTCTCCACCAATAATAACCATTGATCACACTGTTGTTCTGCCACAGCCGAACTTGCGGTCAAAGAGATTTCATAAAGAAGTCATCCATTTCTCAACTGCCTGTTATGTCATTTACCCGGCCCCTTAACTGCCATGTTGTATAGTGTATATAAATAATGTTGAACTAATTTTATGGGACGTGCAAAATTTTCTTGTTTCTTTGTTAGCAAATCATGAAAGACCATTGGATGAATGTGGGTCATGAGGAGGAGGAGCTGAAGCCTTACATCGAGCCTGAGGCGGACTTCAGTGATTCATCCAGAATAGGTGTGTCAGACAGTGTGTGTGTGTGTGTGTGCGTGTTTGTCTGTATGTATGTGTGTGTGTGTGTGTGTGTGCGTGTTTGTCTGTATGTATGTGTGTGTGTGTGTGTGTGTGCGTGTTTGTCTGTATGTATGTGTGTGTGTGTGTGTGTGTGCGTGTTTGTCTGTATGTATGTGTGTGTGTGTGTGTGTGTGCGTGTTTGTCTGTATGTATGTGTGTGTGTGTGTGTGTGTGCGTGTTTGTCTGTATGTATGTGTGTGTGTGTGTGTGTGTGCGTGTTTGTCTGTATGTATGTGTGTGTGTGTGTGTGTGTGCGTGTTTGTATGTATGTGTGTGTGTGTGTGTGTTTGTGTGTGTGTAGATGTCATGTCCAAGACTAACTGTGATTTATGTTGACTTCTGTCTGCCATCAGAGCTCATGGTCACGATGGGTTTCCCTAAAGATGAGATCACGGAGTCTCTACATAGCCAGAAGTACGATGATGTCATGGCAACCTACCTGCTGTTAGGCAGAAAAGCTCCAGAGGTCAGTATATTTGACTTACATAGTCTTGACATCATCACCATTAGTTAATGCATTAACCATATGCCTCATCCTGAGTCTTTACATTTCAGTTCGAGGGCAGCGAGCCTCTGACTAACAGCATCTTGGGCCAGCGACAGCGACCGACCAGTGACATCAACAACAGCTCCAGCATTTCTCCCGCCCATCCCAAGGTCACACGCAGCATCTCGGCCAATCAGAAGCAGCGCCGCTACAGTGATCATGGTGGGGATGATGATGGTGGTGGTGGTGGTGGTGTCGTAGAGAAGCCAAGTAAAGTAACCTCGTCCTTCCCAGCCCTGAGAGTGCTGCTGGCTGCGTGTTGTGTAGGGGGAAGTTGCTTTCAGTCACTGAGGATTTAGATACTCACCCCGCTGATGTGCCTCTGAGCAAGGCACTAGAGCACTTCCAGCTTCACTGGTGCTTTTATATCGAGCTGAATAAAGCTGATTAAGCTTTAAAAAATATTTTTCTGGAAAGGATAAACAAATAACATTTTTTTTCCTTGTGTTCGTAGAATTAATTTTACATTCATTTAACTGTTATTTGTACATCAAACCTAGACTAGTTTAAACTAGTTTGTTTGCTTAATGTGGTTTAATTATCATAAACAGTATATTCAAATGCACAAATCAGTGACTCAACCTGACCACTGCATTGGTTGTGTAGCAGCTTCCTTTCTATGTCATGTGGGGCCATTGTGTCTGCCGCCATCTGCTGGCTGGCTGCTTTCCTGTAGCTCCCTCAGGAACAGCACCTCAACGCATGAGGAGGGAACAGCTTTGCCTTGTACCTGCTCACCTTGGCTTCTGTAGCTGTATAACTAGTGAAACTAATTGTTGTTGCAGAGTATAATATCTGACAGACTGGATGATGTGTAAATCCTGGCTTTGAGTGGCTTTTCTGGCACCATTGTAATGAAGACACTGTCCTCATCTGCTCTTTCTTTTTGTCTAAAAATCCTGGGCATTGGAGCTGTGGAATTAAGGGTGCCCTTGGTGGAAAGTATGTAAATCTGTTCCCATATGTGTGTCTCTCCCAGTGGGTCCGTCTGTGCCCCCGGCGGTATCGTACACGAAGCGCGGCCAGGCCCTGAGTGTGGAAAGTGACCACAGGGAGGAGTGGGACGGAGCACGCCGGCTGGAGCTCAACACTTCAAAAGGAGACGTTCCCGCTTCACCACTGGGGGTGCAGGAGAGGAAGAAAACTACAAGTGCTGTGGGGGTGAGAAAGTAGAGGACACACACAGTTACACATGAACAAATAGGCGTGGGCGGGTCCACGATGACAGAAAGAATTTATGAAGAAAAAGAGGTTAGAGCTTCACATTTGTGCCTCTTTCCCAAGATCATCTTTCATTAGTATTTCATTTGAAATGTAAAATATGTCTTTTGGTGTCTTTCTTCACAAACAGACCAATGGATCAATGACTCGCAGGAACACATATGTGTGTGAACGTTCCTCCACTGACCGCTATTCAGCTATTCCCAATGGCAAAGACAGCAGGTAAGTAAAAACATATTCACACTAAACTATAGGGTGAGATGTAGCTCTCCATGTTCTCTGTCTTTTTTACTGTTGCCCATGTAATTTTTTCTACCTAATATTATTGCACATAATGCAAACCCTATATTAAAACTGAGCATGTTTTAGTGAAAGATTTTCATCCTCACATGCTAATTCTCTTTGCCCCTTGATCCCCAGTTTAACTGAGGTGTCAGGTAGCACCCCATCGACTGCAATGAGCTCTACACGACCTCGTCACACCAAGTCCATGTCATCGTCAGGGCATCCTTCAAAGAGCACACTGCCCCCCATTGATGACAACACAGAGCTGAAAGCCAGGTGAGCAGCCTGACCCTGCCCTCATCATCTTTAGTAACAGGCGATGACGTGTAAAAGTCTAATTGTGTAGTGTGTAGTATAAATTACTTCTTAAAGTACGCCGATGCGGATATGCACCATCTTTTGAGACATGTTCTCTCCTATAACCTGTTTATTCTGCAGCTCCTCTCCGCGTGGACCCTCCACCTCTCCGTCTGCACACAGTATTAGTACCCCAGAGAAGAACCGTTTCCCTCGTGGTACCACCAGTCGCAGCACCTTCCACGGAGCTCAGCTCAGAGACCGCCGCAGTGCTACCTACAATGGCCCCCCGGCCTCGCCCACTCTGTCCCACGACACGGGGGCTCTCGCTCAGCAACGCAGGGGCACCTCCACCGGGATCATCGGCAAGATCACCTCCAAGTTTGTCCGCAGGTGAGTGAAGACAAACGGCTGCACAGATTACACACTAGGTTCTAGTTAACACTTCTTGCACCAGACAGTTTAGGTGTTCACGCTCCCTGTAGCATGTTGTTTGAGTGTGTCAAGTTATCTTCTCTCAAAAACCACAGGAATAAAAACCCAACGTGTGTTTATTTATACTCCCTGAGTGACTAGAGTACCAGGATTTATGAGATAGTGAAAGGGATGGTTCAGTTTTGAAGGAATTCTTCCTTTCCTTCTCAGTCAGACAAACTCATGGATGCTGTTTTATGTCTCTGAATTATGTCTGAAGGTATGTTAGATGGTGATATTAATAAACGTTCCTTAATTACTAATCACACTGAATATCTGTAGGATCAGGTACTAAAATTCAAATTAGGGAAATTCCAGTTTAGACAAACTAAAAAGTGTCTATTACTCAACTTTCATTGTTAAAAAATAACTTTATATCAAATTCCTCTTTACATATGAATCATAATATGTGTAATGTCTTATTCTCAATATGTTTGCTTATGTATTTGAAACAGTATACTCTCGGTGGGCTCTAGTAGCCGTCAATCAGAAAGATATCCAGTAGCTGAGCTAAACTATGTTGAGATATTCTATTTACCTTCAAAGTGCTCAGGGAGACATTAAGAGTCATCCATGGTATTGTCTGTGTCTGGTTAAGCTAAAAAAAAATAGCAAAACTTGGTGCACAATATGTTCCGATTATTTGACCTAAACTTTTTCACTAGTGAAAACAAAGAAAGCATCACATTCTCTACCAGCTTCTTGAAAACAGATATGCTCTTATTCCCAATCCTTAGAGTTTACTATACATGCACACTGTTACCCTTTCCTGTCAAAATTACAAGCAAAGGATAGAACCTCCTCATCCATACACCAGTTAGCTCCCAGTGTCACCTTCACACTGCCCCATCTGGTAGAGGCTCACGGCTTTCTCTCCTTTTCTCTCCGCATAGAGCTCTGTCTTTCAGGTCAACCCGGAGGTAGGAGAACACAACGCTTGCTGCACCTGTCCCCCCCTCCCGTCCATAAAAAGAAAAAAAAAAATCTGTGCCCACTATGACCTTGGCCCGTGTTTCCTTAACCCCTTACGTACTTGCCCACCACACCACATCCTTGCTTACTGACACCCTTGTTATGCCGTGTATTTCCTTCCCTTGTGTCCACTGCCTCGAGAACAAACCTTACAGCTCAACAGCTTCTCCTTTACTAAGCCACAATATCTGCTTCTCAAGTCGCTGGCTTTCCTCTCCTTACTCTCCCCCCGTCTTCATGCTGCGCCATAAGAGAAAAGATCAGGCAAATTACTCAAAGATTTAGAACCACTTTTACGCTCCTTACAGATCAGTGGGGATTAAGGAAAGGTAGCGTACAGTAGACGGTAGGATGCATTTGGTTATTGTGAAGGTGCAACGATACTTAAGTGCCTCAAAAAGTCACAGTCACCTCATTGTGTGCTGAACCCTGATACCCAGGACTGTGGATTCTTTCCTGGCATGATGCCTGACACCCTTCTCCGTGTCCAGTGATGATGATGGTGGTGTTGGTCGTGGGTGGCTGGGTGGCTGGGTGGCTGGGTGGGGAAACATATTGATATCAGCTCGTTGGAGTAACAGTGTATTCCTGGTTTATTTCAGGGTGCCTAGTGAGGGAGAGGCCAGTGCCAGGACAGAAACACCAAGGTGAGTATTTGATTGAGATGTAGATTTCACAGAGAACCTGTAACCAACCTCTGCCTCCTTCAACGTCTCTCTGTCTCTCTCTCTTTTTTATCTCTCTCTCTCTTTCTCTGTCTTCCTATAATGCGGTAGGAGTGTGTCCGGTGATACTAAAGAGGACGGCGGTCGGGACTCCAAGCCTCGCTCGCTGCGTTTCACCTGGAGCATGAAGACCACCTCCTCCATGGAGCCCGCCGAGATGATGAGGGAAATCCGAAAGGTTCTGGACGCCAACAGCTGCGATTACGAGCAGCGAGAACGCTTCCTGCTTTTCTGTGTCCACGGCGACGCTCGCCAGGACAACCTGGTCCAATGGGAGATGGAGGTGTGCAAGCTGCCCCGCCTTTCACTCAACGGCGTGCGCTTCAAGAGGATATCGGGCACGTCCATCGCCTTTAAGAATATCGCCTGCAAAATTGCCAATGAGCTCAAACTGTGACAGCAGATCCCAGTCTGTCTTTTGGTGAGTTCGAGTTACGGTCTCATCTCATCACTGGATTAGTGTTGACTTGACAGGACAAAATTCAGCACTGAAGGTCCTCACCATGCAGAATCAGGGTGGACTTGGCTGGTAACGTGCAATACTGGCCACGAATGTACTGTACAGGGTAGTGGATCAGAGAGATCTCGCAAGGTTTAACCTCTGTGACGGAGAGAGATAGCAAAAACAGCTAACCCCCACCCCCCACCCTTTTTTTTTTCTTCTTCCGTCCGGCTCTCTGTCTCTTTCATCAGCCCGCTGCTCCTCGTCATAGGACACATTCATGTAACACATGCAGTATGCAACTGAAGATGACCATCCTGCAATAATGTTTTCAATCTCTTTTTCTAAATGCCTACTAAAAGATCTACTCCCCTCGCTGAATAACCATTAAAATTACTGAAAGCTAAAATAGCCGCTTTTCCACCTGTGTTAAGTCAGTATATAGATCAGGCTGGAGTCCATACTAAAACTATGTAAAAAGAGAATTGTACTGTATGCATAACATCTGCAGGTACTGTATTGTATATTGATTTTGAGTTCTGTACAGAATTTTATTGTCAATACTGTCTTTTTTCATGGAGTTTGAGTTCTTTCCTAATATAATTGATGTGTCTTAGAGCATTATCCTTTCAGTCTGTGAGTTTTTTTTAATTCTTTTTTTTTAAGAGCCACCATATGAAAATAGTGTTTTTAATTTTATTTAAAGAGCACTAAATTATTTTGTGGAATATTAAGGGATGTGTTCCCTTGCCTTTTATGTTATATTTTATTTGCCTACAGAAAAAAAAACACTAAGTTGCACCACATAGACTTAGTAGTAACTTCAGTTGAAACTGAAAATGTGTTCACTTTATTTTCTCTCAGCAGCAGGCAGGTGATTCAGAGGTCCTGCTGCTATTGCACAAGTTTTCCAGGGTGATGTGTATGAACATGAGAGTATGCACCTGTATTTCTTTCATGTTAGTTTGGTTAGTCCTCAATTACAAAAAAAAACTGCAGGGTTTAAATTGGTTTCCTTTAGAAAGCAGAGGACAGGACGTCTTTATCCAAAGGACTGAAGATGCATGAAAAGTCAAACAATCACCATCAGAGAAGCAGTTTGTCTCGACGAGCCTTTCTAAAGAGCCTGATTTAGTCCTGCCACCAGTGTGATTGTGCAGGTACTTGTGTATCTCCTTGCTTGTGTTTTTTTTTTCTTTTTTTTTTTTTTTTTAATTCAGCGGATTTTATTGTATTTATTCCATTACATTGTAATGTGCTGCTTTGTAGAATTGAGGCGTGCACTTTGTTGGAGAAAATAAAAAGGATTTTATTTGTTTGTATTTCTTTTATTTCATTTCTCATGTCTGCAACATGATTACACAACTAACTTCAAGACGACAATTTCCCTCAAGCGATGAAGTAGATGCGTTAGTGTGTGTTGTTCCGCTTTGAGGAGTGTGTGTCGGCATTTCACACTGCAGCCATGTCATGCTAGGCGCTGCCAGCAGGGAGCTCAGATGAGAACAGTTAATGATGTAAACCTTTATTGACTCTAAACAGCATGATATTAGTCAATAACGTAATCCTAATCATGACACAATTGATGTATTTTGCATACATGTTAGTCAAAGGTAAAGCATTATGAACAATATCCTCAGTTTTTCATCTCAGTTCCTTTAAATGTGAAAATAGTTCCACGTGTGCCTAAAATGTTTTTCATACTTTTTATGAAAAACTGTTTTTTTTTTCAATGCTTTAAACATTATACAAACCATTAATGATAAAAATGTAAGTTGCAAGGATACACAGGTAGATTCTCTCACAACATTTCCATTGATATTTTCCAAATTATAAACATAATTTTAAATCAGTCTCCTTAACAAATATTTATCTAACTGACATGGTCCCTCTTAAACTTACAAAAACTTCATTTACAAATCTTTTAGCAGACAAGTGGAAAGACAGAAAAATGTAAACATTTTGTTTTGGCAGATTTGTTCAGTTAAACACGTTAATAGGTTAAAAAGTACCATTTTGTTATTACTTTCTGTAGATAAATATATGAGATTACAAATGTATAAACTTTGTTGAGTCACATGAATGGGTAAACACAAAAAAATAACCTACTGGCCAATGCTAGATTTAATGGATTAATGAGCATTGATGTTGCATTTGTTGGGATGGGACGGCCTGAGTGAGGCCCTGGTCATGCATTAATGTCTTGACAACATTTTGGGTCTAATCCTAACTTGAGATCCATGCATTGAACTCAACATGTATCTCAGCCAAATATGTTTGGTTGGGATAGATGCATTCACCTTTACATTTACCATGCACTGATTTCAATAGAAGATTTTGAAAAATGAGTAAGAGTAATGCCTTTCTCAAGTTAGGATCAACGGATGATCACTTTCATTGTTGCAGTGTATCTGCTGCAATAGCCTTCTTTGACCACTAAAGTTACCAATAACCTGTCAATCAGTCAAAAGAAACCAATCACTTAATTGCTCAGATCAATGACCAGATGCTCGTAGATCTGAGTTTTCCCTTTGAAACTGGAGGCTAGCAGGAACTGCCGGTTGTCTATGGAGACTGGAGAGAAGGCTCTCGGCGCCTGGATGTTCAGCTCCTGGAAATGGATAAACTCGCCCTTCTTGGCATCCCAGCGGTACACCTGGGTGAAAGAGTAATCGCTGCCCAGAATGGCGTACTGCCAGTTGCCCACAACGAAGGGCTGGAACACCATGGAACCACGAGAGGGCATGGTCTGCAATTCTCTAAAGAGGGCCCCATCCCAGCGCATCACTTTGGAGTCACCAATGAAGCGCGTCAGGCAGATGAAGAGGTCAGATTTGACCTGGAAATGCTTCACAGCGTAGACGTCCTCCATCTCCGGGATGTCGGTGCGTCTGTCAAACAGCTTGGTGCCTTTGTTCCACTGGTAGATGACTGGCCTCTGGGAACTGCTGGACAAGATCAGGTGAGGTTTGGAGGAAATCTCCATGTACTCCACATCGGTGTCCCGGTACCATGGATGGAGTGACTGGTGAGAGTAGAAGCCATTGCCGTTCCACTTGTAGATGGTGGTGGATCCGGCCTTGGAGCTGTCTGCTATGACGAAGAAAGATTCTCCATCGATGCGGAAAGTCTCAACATCGTTGGGTTTGCGGATTCTGAGGATGTCGATGCCTTGAAGCTTAATGAATTTATTTGCAGAGGTGTCGCGCTTATAGATGTGTGAGCCACCAAACAGCTGAGCCACAATGATAAAGAGCTGGTTGTCAATGACCAGAGGTTTGCAAATCACTGTGGATGTGCCTGGTGAGGAGAAAGAAATGATTAAAAACAACACTGCTTCACTTTCTCTTGGATACTTGTCTCCATCTAGTGGTTCCTTTTCAAATCTCACCCCCTTGCCATGTTACAGTTTATCTGAAATGACATTTACTTACTGTCAATATCATCAAAGTTTCTGAAGACCATCTCCACATGATCCCACTCTAGAAAGCTGCACTTCCCAATGAAGGGCTGAGCAAACACCACGTACTGGTCATTCCCAAAGGAAAACGCCTCCACCGATATGGACTCAAACTTCAGGGACTGGTAGGAAGCAAACTCTGTGAGAGAAACAAAAACACACTTTATAATAGCACTAAAAAGTCAGGGGATTATTGATTATTGTATGAAAAACAAAGAGTCTTTTCTGCACTCCACCTGTGGTGATGCAGTCGAAGGACTGTGCCGCCAGATCATTGATCTTCTTGTCCAGCTGTGAGGCCGGGCCTTTACAGTAGATCTGATCCACTGTAGCATTGGTGCTGTATATCCACTCCACCAACCACTTGAGCTTACAGTCACAGGTGAACTGGTTCCCCCGCAAGTCTCTGAAGAGACAAAAAAAACCACCAAACTAACCTCAAAACCCTCAATAGCTAACAGGATTGCTCTCAGCTTTGAGAATGGACTTGATGTTCAAAAGCTGCAGTCATGTAGGTACAATCGCCGGCTTTGGTCTCTGGCCCTCGCGGCGTCACTCTGTGCTCTCATTAATATCGAGAGAGACTATAAAAGAGAAAACTGAACATCTTCAGTCGGTGATAGATTGCAAACTATCCCTCTTCCTCGCTGCCGCATGTAATTTTAATGGTGTTAAAAGCACCAGCTGCCCACACATTTTTCAAGCCTTGGCTGAAGTGGAATAATGATACAGTTTTCTATATTTAGAAGCCTGTGCAGAACACTCACTGTCCACGATAGCAGGAATTATACTTTTAGTAACTGTGCAATTCATCTCTTTGTATCCAGATAATGCAGGATTAAAATTCATACTTACACTTTTGTCAAAGCCTCAAGACCCTTGAACAAATCTTTGGGCAGAGTCTCAAGATTATTGTAGGCCAGACTCCTGCATGAAAAAAACGAAAAAAAAGGAAAAAAAGGAAAAAAAGGAAAAAAAGGAAAAAAAGGAAAAAAAGGAAAAAAAGGAAAAAAAGGAAAAAAAGGAAAAAAAGGAAAAAAAGGAAAAAAAGGAAAAAAAGGAAAAAAAGGAAAAAAAGGAAAAAAAGGAAAAATAGCAGCTGTTCAGATAACTTCCCTCTTCATGCTATTACCCTAGATACACACATTCTGCTGCATGTATGTTCATATCCGGTGCGTCACAAAATCGAAATGTGAAAGTGGTTTATGCAGCGTTTCCTTGCAGTGGATTACATGAATGTGTTAAAGAGCCTGGGCACATATTGCCACCCTGGAGACTGATGGCAGGAACATTGCTTATTGTGAGTTTGAGGAAACATTAAGCTATTTTTAGAGCTGCCTCCTCGGCTATTTTATGACTTTCTCTGCTACAAGAAGAGGGGAAAAAGGTAGATTCCGCTGTTGAGAAGGCTGTATTTGTATTTGAGGCTGGACATTTTCGTATTTGTCGAAGAGAAATGAAGATGGGAGAATTTAAGATACTTACTTACTTATTTAAAGTGCGAAGTCTGTAACCAAATGTGTATATGATAGGCCTTCAGCTACTAAGCTTTATTAAGCTGGACCAGCAAAAGTGACAGGATTTGCTTTATAATCATATTAACAGCTGCACAGCATTGGGAGAAATGTCTATGTATGCAGTAAATGTTGTACAATAAACTTTGTCAGCGTCTCACTGGAACAGTGCTTGCACGCACCTGCACAATTGTACTGACACAAAATAACAGCACATTCTCTGCCTTCACTCTAACTAAGCAAGTCCATTTTAAATTCATATTTTTGTCATCTTTGCATAGGAAATTACACACTGTTATACTTACAGATGCACTAAGGTTTTCAGTCCGCGGAAAGCGTGTGGTGATATTGACTTGATTTGGTTGTTTTCGATGAACCTGAAAGAGGTTGTCAAGTCAGTGCATCAGGAAGGAGGTGATCTTGTCTTTTGGGAACAGCTTTCCAGGAGAAATTCGTGCCATATACTTACAGATACTCCAGATGAGGAAGACCAAGGAAAGCATCCTCGTTTATAGATTCCAGGTTGTTGGCTGTAAAGAGGCTGTGCAGAGCGAGAGACCCGCAATTAATATTTTACTATTCAGGGCCACAAATTGGATAATAACAAACTGCTGTCCCACATTAGCAGCTGTATACTCTGAAAAACCTGAGAGTCTGATGGAAAACCCTCTCCTTTGTTCTTAAGGGTAACCCAAATATGTCAAAGACAAGGATCAATGCTCCATTAGGATTCCTGCTGTCTTACATGTTTGTTTTGAAGGACACAGTGAGTCAGTCAATACTCCACCCCATGAGACAAGAGTGAAGGGGATTCCCTCTTCAAAAGAAGGGATTCCCCATAGATAGTGCTCATTCTGAAACCAGACCTGAGTCACAATATACACAATTAAATTGGACTACACAGATGTACACAAGACTTGGACGAATGCCCATTAGAGACAATACTCTGCCATGACATGAAAAGACATGTATTGGAATAATTTCTTCAAAAATGATTATTGATGAAGCTCCCCACTCTTACGGACAGCTTCTTTTACAATCAGTGGAGGGGGGTGTCTTCAACATTAAACATGGCGTTGATCACCTCACTGGGGACTGACATCATGCAACAAAGACTGAAGAACAAAAAGCTCCGGAGAGATTTCTCACAGGAGATGCAGGGCAGGCGTGTGGATGAAGCTCTCTTTCGGGATTTCAGTAAACTCAGACTTGACGAACGATCTGTGGAGGAGAAAGCACGACAGACAGACAGTCAAACAAAGTGTTAAGCTTTAAAGCACAGACTGCCTCATGCAAACACTTATCCCAGTCTGTTTCTTGGATATGCATTACTGTGCAGCAAAACCAGCAGCAGAGAAACACACGTCTGAGCCAGCAGGTAGAACCGAGCATGTTTGGTGAAATCACTGTAATGGGAATGTGTGATGAAACCATGATAAATAAGACTTACAGTGATATGACATCGAAGGGAAAGCTGCGAGGGATCAGTCCTGCGCTTTCGCACAGCGCGTTATCTTTGGTACATGTACATGAAGAGGGGCAGCGAGGCTGCTTGGCTTTCTTGCTGTCCACTACAAGTAAAACAGACGCCACCACAAGCAAGCCGAGCAAGGGCGATCTTCTGGGCATCTTGCGTGTATTTGCCATCCTTGCGAACCGCTGCGGGCACGACCTGCGCCTCGAAAAGCCCTGCACATGAACCAGGGTCTCCGCTGTGGCTCCTTTTCCACCGCTGCTGCTGCACTGCTGCCTGGAGGCCGAGCGACGCGCTGTCCGCTCTTGTTTATCTCCGTCAAGTGCCGCGCGCCGCCGCCGCCACCGCCGATATGGAGGTGATTAAACCGGGCGCACAGTACGTCCGCAGCGCTGTACTCACACTACACCCCCAGACAACACATCTAACCTATGTCTCACGATACAAAAATAAAAATCTAATCAAATGCGCGCGGCGGTGGCTCACGCTCAGGAAAATGCCAACTGGCGCTGTGACAAACACGGTGTGAAGGCAGGTGGGGATCCCAGCGGGAGCAGACGGAGCATCTCCATGCAAAACCACGCCTAGGCCTGTGATTTCAGCAAACGCCACACTCTCCCTGTCAAGCTCCTGGAGGATTCCGCCCAATAGGCAACGGAATTGTGTAATTTTTCGTGAATCAGCTGGAGAAAACGAAGCCCTGACATGAGCCAGCGGATTGCTGCCTGTGGCGCAGACGCACACGGGCTTTCTATGCGGGAAGCGGGTGGGAAACCCGAAGAACATTTATTGTCATAACAGAAATAAAGCTGCAATACTAGATCAGAGTGCCCCACTAGACTGTCAGTACAAAGCCTGCAACTGGTATTTTTAATCAACGCCATTGAAATTCTTGTGTTTTTTGTTCTCATCATATAGTACATTTTGGGTTTATTTCCTGGTTTGTACGCGGTTTCCATGGCGACTGTTGGATGCAAAATGTGTGATGGAGGGGTGTGGGGAAGCCCTCCTGTCACCCTGACATCTGTTCTGCAAATAAACCCCATCCCCTCCCCCCATACCCTTCACGAACAAAGGACAGGTTAACAGAGTCTCTTTGCTCCCATCCTGCTTTTCTGCATGACATCATGTTTATTTCACTTCCCAAAGCCACATCAGAAAAGGCCCAGTCCCCTCTTTTTAAAAAAAAAAAGTTTTATTGCTTTAAGACACTGCCCTCACAGTTTTATTGCAGTGCTCTGTTCTTCAGTGCCAGACTTGAGGATCCACTGGGAGCCCTATAAGGTCTTCTTCCTCTCAGTCTCTAATTTCTCTGATCCCTCCAGAGTTGTAAGATTAATATGTTTACTCACTGTGCCTGGCAGGCCTGCATGCGTCAGACCCTTCTGAGAAGAAACATGTGCAGGGGGCTTTTTAAAAGGTCTCTGAATAAATATATGCTGCTCTGGACCTCTCTCTCTGTCTCTGATGTGATTAGACCATTTGATATCCAGTGTCTGTTTACGGTGATAACACAATTTCCCTTGTAAAAAATGAAAGCAGGGCATTTGGAGGAGCAGGGTCGTGGTCTGGGGGCTGTTTCGTGGTCTGCTGCTGTACTGTTTGAGAGGGAAGGATGGAAGAATAAAGCTATTGCCAGTGAGAGAGATAATCTCAAGGAGACTGCTTAACTCTGAGAGGGGACATGTGGACATGGCGACGCTGCAGGGAAGGAAAGTAACAAATGTCTTTTTTGCTACAAGCAGCTCTTGGACTAAATGGAGAACACTGGATATTATTGTTGTTCTGCAAGATGATGGGTAGTCTGTGTGCTTCATAAATGCCATCATTCATTACTAGAATAGAACACACACTGTCCAGCAACTATTTGGCCACAGCTATTGATGTTTTGTATTGTGCCTGTGTCTTGTGTTTCTGACTTTTAAGGAACTTCCAGGATCTGTGTTACTTGTTACTTCTGTAACTGTCTATATGAGTTAATATTAATGTGCAAGACTTATAGCTAAAGAGAGACTTTTAGCAATATGAAATAAGTGTATTTCCAAAGAAAACACTCAACTCTTTGATACACTGCAGGTTCTGTCACACAGTCCTCCCACATGGATTCCGACGTCCCCACTAGAGGGAAATGTAGAGCTGAGGTTGAGCCCTGTCACAGACAAATTGATTCATGAGCTGTCAGCTCTTAAAAAAAGCTACTGTGTCCACCTGAAGAGGGAGAGTTTCGTGAATCAAAACCAATATTATTACATCAGACTTTTTTAAAATCTATAATTCAAGTCCACATTAGTGGCTAAAAAGTTTTATCTTGTACCTTTCTTCCTTTTTTTCTTTCCTTGTTTTCTCTTTAAATTAAAATGAGTTATTGTTATAATGATTATTAATAATAAAGTTTTAAATGTAAATTAATATTCATACTATTCTGTACAACAACAATCATTATCTGACAACCATATTCTTAATGTGGTATAAAACCATCTCTCAGAGTGAATACACACTTGTTTTGCTGTTTGACCTCTGGACCTACACCTTGTCTTAAGGTGTCCTGTCAGTCCACAAAGCTGGCTTACCAACTATGACGCGACTGCCGGGCTTTATAACTTAGATGCTCTCTGCTGCTTCTTGTATGAGCTATGAAGTTTGCACGCCACCTGTCAGTCACCTGCCTGAGCCAGTTATATCAAAGGGATCATCACTTACCAACTTACCTTCTTAAATGTGCATAATTATATTGTAAAAAGAAATTATCCAATACACAGCAATTTACCATCACTGCAGAGAAATGCTGAGAAATGGAAGTAAATCCAAGTGTGATTTTAATCTCTAAAAACCTTAACATTGAAATAAGAGGAGGTTTGGCGTTGAAGATACTTGCCCCTTTGCTCTATGATGCAGTGGGAAATTATGGATCACAGAAGTGATTCCATTGTCTTGATTTTATGAGGATTTCATGAACCTTTGTGTCTCATTCAATCAGTTAAAACATAAGTATTTTTGTCCCAAGAATTGCCTTGTGCAATGTTTTTAAAGAACTCATAGTCACACTGTGTATCAGTACTCATTATTATTGCTCACTTGCATTCTTGATAACTCAGGAATTACAAATGATTGTAATATTACACTCATTGATTCTAAAGGCTTCACATCTTTCATCTAAATCACAGCATTAACATTTTGAAACACCTCTGAAGAGATAAAGTAGCAGCAGAGGCAGTGATACCTTTGCCTGTGTGGGATTTTCCAGGGATATTCTCATATGATGCTCCACAACATCTGTTAGCCATCCCAGCTGAGGTCAAACAACATGCCAAACAGTCAAAGGTCAAAGGTCATGACTATGTGTGCATACTTCAAATTGCCAATAAACCCACGGGAAGTCAGACAGATGTATGTCTTTGTGAAATGCAGCATGCCATGAGGAATTTGTTTGATATTTTCTTCTTCATTTACTCTTCATGTAAGCTGTAATTTTTTAACATAATGTAGGATACACACCCTGACGTCTATTTCCATTGTTCATAAAGATGTAGCATGCAAATGTTTGATGAATGAATATGTGCAGTCTGAACACAGAAACCAGTTCCAAATCAGTGACACAGGTCTGTTGTAAGCCTGTTAGCATTTGATTAAAAGTTGTTGTTTGGTCAGTCTTAAACCCCTCTTTATCTGATCTCAGTAGTGAACATCATATACACAGATGCATGCGGGAAAATGAAGCACAAAATGAGTTTTCAACTGAACTCAACTTGAAGAATGGCTAAAATGAACTCTAAATGTACGAAGCATGCATGATTTGAAAATAAACTTTACTGACATTTTTCACGTCTTACATATTTAATTGTTATGTATTTACAGCTATACTGGCATTACAGAGTCAGATTTCTTTACAAAGGATGCGTTTGCTGGGATTTAATGTTAATTAAATGTCTTACATTAAAAAGCAAAGTTTTGCATCAGAAAAAAAACCCAATACAATAGGATCTGACATCATCATATCATCGCAAGCTCTGTGCAGAGAAATCTGTCAGACAGGAGGAAAAGTACAACTTATCATTTTAAGAAATCGCAACATAATCACATAATAAATATGTTGGTTCACAATCAAACAAAGCCATTGCTCCTGTACATGTTGACTTGTGACTGCTCAGTGTTTCCCGTACTGTCAGGGCCACATGTTCTCTGGACACGCTGACTTATGAGCAGGGTGGCAGTATTTTTACTTTATGTAAGCACGGGATTTGAAAAGGAAAGCCTATGGGCTCCAGCTGGCTTATAACAAAATCCAATTCAGTCAAATCTTCTTACATCTCCCACCCATTTGCCAGGGACATATGCTGGAAATTCTGAAAGCACTACTTGCAATTAGAAAAAAAAAGCAACTAATCATTTGGTTTATGGAGCTTTTTCTCTACAAAATTTACATTTGTTCATATACATTTATTGTAGCGTTTATATACTGAAAATATTCAGATATAATAGTTCAAACTGCATAATATTTGCAGCCTATTCTTTCTATTCACAGACTGTCCAAAGACAGAGAAAGTCAGCTAGATATCCTTATATATTATAGTCAGTATAAATATTCATAATAAAATACAGATATGCACTCTTCTTAACAACTGAAGGTCCAGCTCAGAGGAGACTTTTAGTATATACAAGAGGTAAATAACTACTGTTTACATACAAATTGTATGTACTTCATTGTGCCAATTAAAATAGTTATCTGTGTCAGAGGATAGAACTACATGTTAGAGTATATAAAAATAATACTTGTGGGATTTTTGCACATTATAATTTCCTCATCTGTGAACACATGCTCATGCACATACACACACACTGTACAAATACACACGCAGGCAACCATCCATAACTAATTGGGAGGTCTTGGATGTCTAGCAGATGGCACACGTCTTTGACTTCCCGCCCTCTTGAGCTGCGAAAGGAACAGAAGAGAAAGACAGTGAGACAGCGGTGACAATGCAAATACACGAGTGAGCACGAGGGATGTGACGACGCGCTGGACTTCAAACACCAGGTCTCACCTCCGTCTCCTCCACCTTCCAGCTTTTTCTTCTCGTCTTCGATGGCCTGCATCTTGGCCGCGTGGACATCTGCAAGAGCTTTCCACTCTCCCCTGTTGATATTCAGTCCGTCAAACATGGGTGTAATCTCTATGTGGAAGCGAGAAAACTCCTGCAAACACAGGTACAAATGGGATAAAGCGGTTGAATGAGAAATTAGGAAAAATGCAACAGAAAGTATTCACAGTTTTATATATGTACATATTGAACATGTTTGTTTCGATATACACTCAAATATCTTTTGGTTTTGTGTCTTGGTACCTTGTACACAAAAGAGCAGACAAAATCAATGAAACCGCACTGCATCTTGGGAAGCTCATCGGCATGATTTCTGTCCATCATGGGCTGAAAGAAGAAGAAGAGATGATTATTATCAGTCTTATAATAACATATAAATGCAGACAACACGACATAAAAACATAATTTAAAGCTCTTACAATTGGCTGCTGATCAAGAACTGTCCTTTCGAGGTCTCCCTGCTCCCAAAATTCAGCTGCCACCATCAGGGCGACCTGGGACGCAACAAAAAAAACAAAAAAAAACAATGAGAACCAATGTATGAGTGATGCTTTGTTATCATGTTACAAGTCTGAGGAAGGGAACACACCTTGCTCTGAACCTCCCATGGCTTCGTGATGGCAGACAGGTCACAAGCTGTCATCATCATTGCCCTGCAGGAAATACAACACCATTGACGGGAGTTTTGAAAGAGAGCATCAACATGGGGTCAAGAAGACATAGAGAAATTGTGACATGACAAATGCATTTAAGCGGCTATTTCACATGACGTATGTACATGATAATCTCCTTTCTGGTTGGGTTGTTGGAGATGTAGTTGATCTTCTCCTTTTCTTCTGGAATCACCTCCACTAACTCCACAATCTTTTGAAACATTGTTCTCTTCCTGAAAGACGAGAAAGATGTCGGATATTTTTTCAAAAGTCGTTGAACATCATTGACAGGCGTTAAAAGCGTGAAGTACTAATGTTGAATGTGGGACACACATTCACTATATACAGCAGTTTGACGGATCAAAACTCCTGACATTCCTTACTTGAAATAGAGTGCGAGATCAGTGGCAATAATGCAAACTTCAAACAGATGCTGCACCGTTTCAAACTGACGCTTCTGAAGGTTTTGGAAGATGTTCAGGTTCTGTGGGTGACAGCAGAGGAATGAGGTCAGACAGTGTGGGTTTTTTGGGTTTTTTTTGTCTATGTCAAAACCACAACTACACTTAAACGCACAGAAATGTTAACATATAGGCACCCACCTCATCCTCCATCAGAGTCTTACTATACTCAAGATGATGTCGCTCCATAACTGAGGTGCTGTGCAGTTTTGCCAGTGGGGACGCACTCCTACAAGAGTCCGCCAGAGTCAAGTTTTTATATAGTTTTTTTTCTTTTACATTGCATTCAGGGTCAATTTGTCAACTAACAGAGACGTTTAAAAAATTCTTACTTTGTCTGGTAGAGATTGTTGGTTCCTCTGTGGTCAATATCGTGACAGAATCCAGCAGCAACCATGGCAAAGGCCTCGAGATCAGAGTAATACTTCTTCAGTTTACCTGTCTGTTGAGGAACAGAAGGGACGACCCTGTGTTATGACCAACGATAGCATAAATGATAGAAATAACAGAAATAGGAGTAGATGTCTGACTCACTAGCAGCAGAGTGAACATGGTTTGTCCCACATTGAAGCCGTGCCTCCAGTTGTGGTAGGTGATGTCGCGGTACCCTCTGCGAACGGTGTACATCCAGCGTGTCAGGGTCTGCATGACAAAACAAAGACGGCTACAAATAATTCAGTTTAAGAAGTACATCCGGTGAAAGGGCTTGACTCAGAAACACAGAAGTACCACATAGGAGACACCCCCCCCCCCCATACAAAATGTAATCTCGAAGTGCTCCTTCAACTCATTGCTGTACCTCAGCTGGGACTTTGAACTTCTCCACCACCCCCAGCTCAAAGAAGCAGCGGATACCACACTTGATGAGTTCAAACTCTGACAGGGGGAAGTCACTGAAGCGGAACTCGAGCAGCTCCACGGTCTGGGCTTCGGGGATGTTGGACCTCTGCGTGGAGCGAAACACAGTCAGTCGCCATGGCATCGCAAACAAACAAAAGCTCATGAAGAGCATTGTGGTCTAAACGACATCACTGACACATCACAGCACGTACCAACAGCTTGTACATCGCCTTCTGGTCACAGTCCTCTGGTGTAGAGCCGAACTTCTCTTGAGTGTTCTGTGGGGAAATGACAGTGAAAAGGAGGCTTAATCTCTTCATCTGTTTTCAATCTGGTTGATGTCATAGCAGTCGAGTGTGGCAGCAGCTTACCAGAATGGTCTGCACATCATCTGGTTTTGCCCTTGTCTGGTACATGAGCATTTCCTGGGCAACATCTTTCCTCCACTCTGTCCTGTTCAGTTTGTCGTACGTGTCGCTGTTCAGAGTGGACCAGCCAAGGAACTGGGTCAGAGCCTGGTGACATGGAGGAATCAGTTTCATTTTGTCAGTTTCATTCTGTAATTTCAGTTATTTACTAGTTCTTTAATACAAGATATCTCTCATGAATAAAATAATAAATACTCCTGAAATTAAAAATGAGCTAGATAGAGTTTGTTTCCCGTACTTCTGTAATTTGTTCGTCATTGTCATCAAATGGTTTGCCATCTTTTCTGTTGAAGAACGTGGCAACGCCAACAATTTCTTCCTTTTTGTTGACGATAGGTAGGGAGAGGACGTTCTTAATTATCCATCCGGACTCATCCACTGCTTCTTTCTGTCCAAAGAAGCAAATCAATTTTTTTTTGTTTTTGTTTTGTGGAACCAGTGCGTAAAAAAAAACCAAAAAACAAAAACAAAGAGAATTGAATTGAATTAATCAGTTATCACTAAAGAGTGTCTCACCTGGAATCCAAAGTAGTCATCTGCTGCAGCGTTCATCATGTTGCAGATCTGGAAGATGTAAAAGAAGTTTTTGGAGTTGAGCGGATCAGTGTCACCAATTATTCAACTGGAGGTATTCTACTCAAAATAATGGAGCAAAAGTGGAACTTACAAATCCATTCTCAGCCACATATGATGGGAGTCCGCTGACCAGAGCCCAGTGGTCTGCAGGAGGGCCGCTGAGAATTTAGGGAGGAGTCAGTAACTCTGATTACAGTACACTCTATTCTCTAAATATGCATATAAAACTGTATGTTAAATCTGGACAGATACCCGAGCTACACTACATCATGATACATACGGGATAACTTTAATCTCCTCTTTGTCTTCCAGCAAGTAGTCAATAATCTTGTAGAAGTTGATTTCCTGAATGTTTTAAACATTAAAGAGAGTTTTTTTTCACGTTCATGTTCACAAATTGCTGATTAAGAATAACATTATAATAACAAACTTAAGGCCTTACCCTGCCATCAGGTGTCTTGGGGCCCTTGTATGGCTCCTGTTCTCCTAGTTTTATTGCCCACTCATCGAAGAATTCCTGGTGAAGAAAAGGCCAAAATCATGTTTCTGTGTACTTTATAATTAATTCATATAAATGCTGCAGTATAAGTAGCTGCAGATAAAACTGCAGGTGAATTAGACTGTAGGCACAGTAAGCACTTTCTTCTACGCACCTTGTCTTTGGTCATGTCCAGGAGTCCCACAGAGTATCTCTCACACTTGATATATGTCCTCACTGTGTACAGGGCTTTGTGAAACTGCCTCTCAATATCTGTCAACTCCTCAAAAACTTTGCTTGCTGACCACAGCAGCACCTATAGCAAGGAAAAGAATCAATGCATAGGATTTGGTGTCACTCCATTTTTTATTTTTAGTGCAGCTGGAAAATGAACATCTCAGAAAAAAAGGAGGAAAAGAAGGAAGCAGTCAATTATTTTCAAAGTTATTCTTGGAAAAACTAGACTGGACAAGTGGATTTATCGTTGTGTTATTTCACCTGGCTTCTCCTGGACTCCACATCCCACATGTAAGCAGTGTGTGCTTGGAGAATAACCACGCTAGCAAAGTTCACATATTTGTTGAAGAGCTGTAATAAAAGAGGGAAGAAACACATCGCTTTATGAAAGATACATGTCACATGTTTCCGCTCAGCACTGAATGGCGACATATTACAATCACTTTCTCTGACAAATCTTCGCTTGGATGACCCCTAGAGTCAGTGTCACAAAGAGGCTGTCAAAGAAAAAAATGTCTGAGCTTCTCCTCCCTAACAGGATTATATGCTGAGCTGTCATAACGGTGGTGACCCAAAGCACAAAGTCGAGCCTCTGAATGTACAGGTCAGAGACAGGAAGCTGGTGGGATAAAATTGGCCATTTTTACCAAGTCAAGATAAGGATATGACCCTCATACTGATCTACTCACAGTGCAGCCTCAGCAGCATTCTGCGTGTCTCAGCGCAGCCAATTGCAGTCTGTGTTTGATTTTGTGAGTCATTCTAGCAAACACACTCCTCAGTCAGTATAAATACCCTTTTATTACAAATGAACATCTTGTCCGCTCACCTCCTGATCACTCTTTGAGAACTCAGTGGCACCCTGTTTGTTGAGCGCCATGATGACACCGATGGGCTCCTTTCCACTGATGATGGGGGCAGTAACCATGCATTTTGTGGTGTATTTGGTTTGATTATCCACAAAGTCACTGAAATGAGAGTCCTGGAAAACAACATCAAAAATACAGCTGTTAAAGGTTATCTGCCGATTACAAGATCAAGTTCAAACATGCCGAGTACGGATCAGAACTTAGGTCTGCGGTATGGTTTAACAACACGGTTTGATCACACCAGCAAATGATAATTAAAGCTGGTTGAGATTAATTACAATTGGCACCCCGTGAGCTAAATGGCAGTGCATCTCTGCAGAGATTATACACATTGTTGGGCTTTAATGAGACAGAATTACAAGCTGTCACACCAGTAACACAACCTAGTTTAGTCCCTGTTTGTTGCGACTTGTATTTTCCTTAATGATTTGTTTCAAGAGATTCAGTTAATCTTTTGTTCGCTCACCTTCTTCACATCAGCAACATTCTGGGGCTTCTTGGAGTGTGCCGTCCATCCAACAATTCCCATGTCGGTGGGGAAAACAATCTCTACGTTGGGGTTCACAAAATTTTTCTCAAATGGAGAATTGTGGGTCACATCAAAGAGGATTGTGGACAGCTCAGGCGTTCCGTTACGAGACCTGCTGCCGAAGAAGCTGCAGCGATCAGCCTGGATCAGCAGAGCGATCCTCTGGAGAATTTTATGCAGGGCTTTCTCCATCGGATTGTCGCCCTGCATCTCCTTTATCAGCTCGAATATGAACTCAGCCTCCTGGATGGTGGAGACATCTTTGTAAGAGGCTGGGTCCTTGAGCTGGACCTGGTTGTTGAATGCAGCAGTAATCACATCTGCCTTGACTTTCTTTTCGTAGTACTCCTTTGCAAACTGTGGATTGTTGTCGAGGAACTTCTCTACAGTGTCTTTGTCTGCCATTTTGTCCAAGTTTGGATGAACGATCCCTTCTGTAGCTGCAAAAAGATGCTCCCCTCAGATGCGTACAGCTGGATGGAGGAGGAGCGGGGCAGAGCGGTGAAGGTGGCCTTGAAAAGATGTGGCAGTACAGATGCTACTGAGACATTTCCCAGCCTCCTCTGTGCACTCAGGACCAAGGCTGCAGCTCCAACTTTCCCCCCAGTAACAGAAGGTAGTGAGTGGCTTACTGTGTAAGGGGATCCTAGGGGGGGACTAATGACTGTGACGTAAAGTCATAAAGCCCCTGAGCTTTCTTAACTTGTAAATCCAGCTACTTGTCATTTTAGTGCAGCCAATCCCATCACAGGTAATAGCTGAGTTATGGCATCTACAGTCTGACCTGCTCTTCAGAAGAGGGCAGGGAGAAAGACTGGAATTACTTATGGGGGATTTCCTGAATCTGCATGATGACATATCGAGATCACTATCTCATCTCTGTCTCTCTCTCTAAATATACTGTGTATACTTAGTTGTCAAAGTAACATTCAAAATACTATTGACTCATTTAAAAAGTAGCCAACATTGTAGCAGAAAAGACACGCTGTATGAATTCAGGGGGATAAGGATAATAGCATAACAATAACACCAGGCAAGGACGGTCAGAGGAGCCATTGACCACTTAATAAAAGCTGTGTTTAAGTGTCTTATGTTGTCTGAGAAGCTTTGTATGACAGTAAGTGATTTGAGGAGGGAAATCAGATCCTACAGAGGGCAGGAATGTATTTGAAAAACTTATGTTTAGCATCAGTTATGAATGATTTGATGTCATGCTACCAAAATAAGAAAAACAAGGAAGCCATCACAGAAGTGATATTATGATACAAGATGAAAAAAAGACTGCACCCCCGCTGGTCAATTCAGAACAAGTACAGACAGCCAGCAGTAATGTGGTCTAATGTCTAACTAACGCCTCCAGAGAGAAATGAGTGTTTATCTCACGAGCCTGGCTTTCCTGGGTTTTCCTATGCAGCCACACTTAACCACTGACAGGATTACGTGGGATTGTTAACTGTTGTTTGGAGTTTAATTACTCTTGTTGACAAGCAACCTGAGTGGTGCGAGGAGGCAAGTTCTTTCTTATTCCAGATGACTAAAAAGGAAACAACACGACTAAACAAGGCACTCCAAATCTTTGCACAAACATACTTAAAACTGAATTTATATTAGTCAGTTTATTGATTCATTTGCTGCCAGTTTCTAAACAGCTGATTTACTCATGGCATTTTAAGGACTAAAACACTATTTAATGGAGTATATTATTAGTGTAGATTATTAGAGTATTTCAGATAATAAAAATCTGTGCTGTTACCACAACAGATAACAGACACAACAATTACTGTTTGGCATTTCAGGGTAGGATTCATTTTTGTAGACTGAAAATAAATGAGTGAAAATAGCAAAAAATAAAAAATAAAAAAAATAAAAGGGTAATATTATTATTAAATGAACTATCTTTACAGTGTTAGCACTTTCAGTCTTAACGCACCAGCTCAGGAGTGCAACAAGCATGAGATCAGTTCATCTTCCATGAGAGGAATACGTGCATGTATATATGTCTGTCAGTGTCACCAAAGGTGTGGAGAGCATGTAGTACACGTCATGTCACTTTGAATCCACTATTTGATGAAGCAATCACAATAATCATGGATGCATCCCTCGCCTTTGACCACTGCCACCAGGCTCTTTTCGCAGAGGCACTACAGCAGAGCCACAGCAGAGCTTACGCCAGGCGTTCTTGAACTGACAGACTGAGTAGAGGATGGGATTGAGGGCTGAGTTGGCCAGTGTGAACGTTACCACCCAGAAGAACATGGTAGAGGAGATGTACAGGTGGCCCAGGAAGTTTCTGGCGAGAATGAGGAAGGTGTTGATGAAAATAGGGCTCCACATGATTAAGAAAGAGAGCACAAGGACCAGAAGAGTGCGGAAGAGCTTCATATCCTGGCGCGAGACGTGGTACTCAGTAGACTCAACAACTGGGGGCTGACTGTCTCGGGTTCGGAGCCTTCGCCTACAACTCTTAGCGATCTGTAAAACAAATAATATTACATAATACTGGCATCCTGCACTTTGTGACATCATATGAGCAGCTACGCAACCCAATTGATTTACATGTGGATTTATATATGGGGTTGAGATCCTTTATGTTTGTCTTCAATGTGTCTCAAACATCCATAAAGTCTTTTCAGAGCTAAAATCAATGTGTGGCATCTCAGAATCCTTTTCTATTGTCTGCATCATGTTAATGTCCACATTGGTAGAACTGGTTGTCCAATGCAGTATTGACAGTCGATAGTGCGAAGCTTTGAACCCACACACACCATTTTCAGCTTCAGTAATTAACAAAGCACATACACATCTGACAAAGCACACACACATCTGTTAGCAGACTGGCAGAGGCATGACTCATATTCACGGCGGGTACAAAGAGAAAGGTGAGTATGCCTGTAAATAAATGGGTTGGCATGAGTTGCTGAGTGAATGGTTAATGCAGGTTTCTTAACACCATTTTTTTTAACATTATGTTATTATTATTATTAAATGAATCATTATTAAGACAGTAGAGCAAAAGTACATATGTGAACAAAGTCAAATTGGGGCCAAAAAGAAAAGGGAAGCAAATATCAGTCATCATTCTACAATGATGAGTCTAATGGACCCAAATGTTGCTTCCTTTTCATTTATTTCATCCTCTTTTCACCTCAGCTTCCAAGTTTTAAAGGTTAGGCTGCCAATATTCTATATTCTTCTTATTGTCGACAAAACCAACAATTAACTGATCCAACTAAAAAGTATTACCAGTGTAGCCAGAGCGTGGTGTAGCTGTGTGACACAATGTTGTCTAAAAACTATTAAAAAACACTTTCTTGGAAAAATTGTTTTCAGGTAATCCCACATACCACAACCTGCTGCTGTAAATCATCACTACAGCACCAAATGTGTATTAATCCACAGCTGAAAACAGTCCCCAACACATTCACAATTTACAGCTGTTTGAGTAACGTGGCCAGCTGTTTTGGGAAGTTACTGATCCTTTTTTTTAAACAAATAAAACTATGTACTCATGGCCCATTTTTAAAGATTTACATCTTCAGTGGGAATGCATGGGTTGAAAGTTGTTAAGTATATGCAGACAGATTTTAGTGTTAGTCTTTCCAAGGCATTTGTTGACAGTAAGAAAAATACAGAAAGCGTTATTTTTTTGAAACTGTGACTGAGATTCCATCATTCTTTAAACTGTCCCGTCCTCCACTTCCTGACACTTTTGCCAGTTTAAAAGTACAATAAACCCACCTGTAATATTTTGCTGTAACTGACCACAATAATGAGTCCTGGGAGAAGGAAGCACAGGGCGCTGAAGGATACATTCCACACAATCTCTCCAGTTGTGTCAGGCCACTTGAGAGTACAGATATGTACACGTTCCTGTGGTGAGATGACAAAAATATACAGAAAAACATACATTAATAGCGGGGACAGGGGCGGAAGCTTTCCTTTCATCCATTGATTCATCCATACTTGCTCAGGGAAATCCACTTCCATCACAGTGAAGAACAAACTGAGGGGTAAAGTGGTGAGTGCAGAAAAGGCCCAGATGAAGACGATGGTGACGGTCACCATTCTGGGGTTTAGGGTGGGCACCGTCTGCAGCCGTAGGATTGCCTGGACCCTCTCCACACTGATGGAGGCCAGGGTAGTGATGGTGACACAGCCGCTCATACAGATGACATACAGCACAGTGCGACAGGCCATAAACCCCAGCTTCCAGGACACGGTCCAGCGCACTGCCACTATCAGTGGGATCATGCTGACAAACAGCAGGTCGGCCACAAACAAGTTGAGGGTCAGGATGGTCTTGTTGGCCAGCAGTCGGCGTTCCCAGGTTACCAAGGCTGCAGCTCCCGCATTCGCTGCCACGGACACCAGGAAGACAATGGAGATAACCAGGGTCTCGACAGTGGTAGCCACTACATGATCAGAGTGGTGTAACTCAGAGAAGAAGGAAAAATATGTGAAGTTTCTCAAGTGGATTAAGTGAGTGTGAGGGTCAAAATCCATAGAGGCTGAAAAGATATTTAGATCTACGATGCAAACTGAATTCGCTGAGGTGACTGCCAGATAACAGAATAGGGAACAAAAGCTGATAAGTGGTACAAGAGAGGAGGAGGAGGAGGAGGAGGAGGAGGGCTAGAGGGTGGTGACTAACCTTTTTGATGCTGTTTGCTCCAGCTGCAACCTGTAGGGATGTCAAACATTACAAGATGTTCTTTGTGCTCTTATCCCCTGCGACCTGTGCTACTTCAGTGCCATGTTATTTCAGCAAAATTTGCACTTTTCTAACATCAAACACAGCTACACTTGCACGGTGTGGATCCTTTCTTGTGGAACGGTTCTTGATTTAATTACAACACGCTGCACTTTGTTGTCCACTGATTATTTTGAGACTTCCCTGTGGGTTAATCCAAGTTCTAATCTTCAATCTTTGCCCCTGTTGAACAGTAATACTGTGTAAATGACAAATTAGCTGTTGAGATCTAATTAGCAAGACACCGCTTTTATTTACTCTGCATAAGATTACCAGGTTTACAGTACTTCCTGAGTAGTGATACTGTAATTGATCAGAGGCTGTCCTACAAACAGGCTTTTCTTCTCGTGCAAACCCTGCAGGGGTTACCTTAGAATCTACCTTAGAAATATCTATTTTACAACTAAAAAACATCCTCCTTTCTCTGACAGTATTTTTGTCATGTCTGGTGTTAATAATAATCTACAGGGCTCTAGGAGAAACACCCTCTTGGCTGGCCTTGAGTTTTGCCTCTCAGACAGGCTAAGCTCATATTCTAACTTTCCATGAAGACGATTCCATATGAAATGTTCCTGAAAGGTACAAAGACTTAAGAGGTGTCTAAACCATATTATCACTTTTTCTAAAGCTGTAAGGCTAGGTCAACCCTTGGTGTCATGTTCCCTTTCAAAGCCTCCGTCACTGCACAGACTCCCCATATTGTTGGTTAGCAATACTAATCCATGTCTTTAAATAGTACAGGAAGGGGATTTACTTACACAAGCTGTTTTGAGCTATTCATCTGGTTTGAAGTGCGAGACCTGAAGGGACACGGACCTACGGCAGCATGATTTAATAAAGTATCACACAAATTGTCATTAGCTGTTCAGGTAGTTGGTCATTAACTGAAGTAATTCAAATTTTGACTTGGTAATGACGCTAGATGAAAAGGCAGGGAGTCACCAAAGCCAGTAAAATGTCAAAATGACAAATGTCAACCTCAAAGTGGTGCAAGAGGAAAGGTCAGGGGATCGCCCAAATCTTCATCTTTCAGGAACCATGAATGTACCAGTACCAGCAATACATTAAATAGTTGAGATATTTCAGCCTGGACCAAAGTCCTGACCGACACACAAACATTGCCATCCCAAGAAATCAAGAATTACAACATCAGCAACTGAACATTGTAGTTTATTAAGATAACTTGTACCTCTGGTTAAACAATATGGATCGAAATCAATCAAGATAGTGAACTAAATGAAGTTCGAGACTCAGCTCAGTCGAGACAGATTTCCAGGTGGTTAATCAGTTCTCGGTAGTGACTGGCAGGATACTCGGCGCGGCAGCCGGGACACTCCAGGTAACTTTCATTCAGCAAGCTGCCCTGAGTGGAGGATATCGGGCTCTGGGAGGGAGGGTGTGTCACTTCACACGAGTTGCAATCTTGCTGGTCTCTCTAATGCAGTAAAAATAGAGTCATCTGTCAGATATGGATAATACGACTCTGATTCTGGCTCATCATCATTCTTAACAGACAAAACTTAAAGCTGCACTAATAAATATCTAGGATATCCTAGGACCTGTCAGTGAAAACATTCTAAAAACTGCTGTACACAACCAGCTCAACACCTAAAACAGACAGACAAAGTTGGAGAACAGCAAGAGAATATAGTTGAACGTTTAGCAGCTGAAGAGTTGGATGTTGCCCTCAGGAGTTAGTGGAGATCCAAACCGAGCTAAAGGGAGAGTGAATATTCGGCTTGAATTCGTCAGGATGTGTAAATAAGCAATTGCTCCCCATAAAAACTTTATTAATACAGCTTTAAGTTTCAACCCGAATACTAATTACAAATCATGCCAACCTTTGACTGTTTTGTCACATGGCCTTCAGCTTTTTTCAGTGTCTTCAGGACTCTCACCATTTGCTTCTTTAAATACGAACAATCCTGCCTCTCATCCTTAAGGTCTTGTGAAGAAATGTTGATCTAAAATTTAAAAAGTTAGCACTGCAGTCAAAGCTATAATACTTTAGAGGTGTGGGTGGCATATTTTTCAGATAAAAAGAATTCCTTTGCTTATGTGAGGACTGATTTTCCTTTGGAAAGAAAGCAAAGAGGTAAGAAAGTATGGCATGCTCTTGTCAAGCCTCCTCAAAGTGTAATTAACCTGTGCCATCATTAAGAGTTGGCGGATTAGCAACATCCCTCAATTTCGAGCTAATACTAAGGATTTATTTCAGCAAGGAGAATAAGTTACCAAATCTAAAGACGGTTCATACAAAGTGAGTGTGCCTGTCATACCTGTCGCTCCAGATCTGCCATCTTTTCTTGGTCTGCATGATGACGATTTAACATATACTTCTGAAAGAGATTTGCCTGAGAAGAGAGAAGTTTACTTTTGATTTGGTGGCTTTTTTCCTTTGTATGATGAAGGTAAGATTTTTATTTTTCCTAGTCAGTGAAAAAAAAAAGTTAAACAAAGACATACCTGCAGCTCAAAGTTAGCTGACCTGCGCTTCTCTGCATCCAGTCTGCCCTGGAGGTGTTTTCTCTCATCTCTTAGCCGTTGCGCTTCATCCTCAGACCAATGAAGATCTTCCGGTTCATTTTTACTGCTCATTTTTGCAGAATGCAGCTGCTGCTTGAGCTCCTCCATCTCCGTTTCCCTTTCCCTGTGCCTACACATCAATCGGTCTGTCATCTAGCTGACTACCATCCTAACCTTCTCCAACTTTGAACGATACCATTTTTTTTTTTACAGCAGACATACCAGTTTTGCAATGTTATCACGTTCTGGTGGGTGCTGCTGGCCTTCTCCCTGAGCACGACCAGCTCATCTTTGGCTTTCTGTAAGAGTCTTTCATAGTGCTCCTGCATCTGGCGTATTAGCTCCTTCTCTATAATGCAAAGCAGACGATGAATGAAAATAAAACTTAAAAAAGAGAGGAGGAAATTACACATTCACCTACACAATCAAAGATGTTAGGTAGACCTTTACATATGCACCATGTAGTAATAAAACACGATTATGAAAATGCAGTGCAAGGCCACATACTGTCATAGCGGGCTACTCCAGGGCAATCTCAATATCTTAAAAACCTTATTGTGACAGTCTGTTGCCCCAGTGTCGAGTGCCCACTGCCCACTGGCCCTCTGGCTCACCATCTGAATGCTCTTCATTGTGCTGCTTTGAGCGGGCCTGATTGGCTTCGTTCAGCTGCTTCTCCAGCCATAACATTCTGGCTATAATAGCCCTCACATAGGCCTCTCTCTGCTGGTCATATTCCAGCCACTGCTTGTTCTTCTCCAAGGCCTCGGGGGGATTTAAATAAAAGAATGAGAAGCATATAATAGAGAAAGACAGAAACAGAGCTGTGCCAGGGGGATGGCTCCAAAGCACAAACACTCAGCAAGACATGTGCACTGTACACAGACACACGTTCTTACTGACGAACCAATGCACACACACAAAGTAGAAACTAAAACAGTAGGTGGATTAGATGTTAATGGAAATATAAAAACCGAAGAGACCCTTTCAAGCTGTGTGGCAACAACAAGGCGCTTACATCTCTGAGGTGATTTTGGAGCTCTGTTATGCTGGCGATGGAAGCCTGTTCATCTGTCTTGGAGGCCTAACAGACAACAGTAAAATACAGTATAGCCTTACACGTATGTGAATGAACAGCTGACCATGTTATGACAGTGTTTGGTTCTCTGCAGTATCTAGAATTTCACTGTGATGGCATGCTCTGCAAGAGGAAGTTTGTTTTAATGGAGAACAGTATTTCTCCTCTAAATGGAAGACTGACATTTATAAACAAGTGCTGCCATCTAGTGGTATACAACTGATAAGAGACTAGAGGAGATTTGTGAATCAAACTTCTGAAGTAACATTACCATAGACCTTCTTCACAGGGGACATTTTGACATGTCACAGCAGGAAAACCACACTTGGGAATGATAAAATTAATGATGGCTGAATTCCATTAATCAAAACTGGTTTATTGGTCTTGATATTGTACATGCTGGCTCACTATAACACTGTAAGGGCTTACTGAGGCCCTGTAGCTTTTCCAAATCATAATCTCTGCTTTGAAAATGAGCTATTATGTGCTACCACTCTGCACCTATAGTAAAAACATCAGTTTTTACTGTGTAGCACCTAGTATTAATTGTAGAAGTGCCAAATATGAATTGTAAGAGGCACATTTATTTGATAAAGTAACATCTGTTGTGATTTCCATGATTAAATATATATTGTGTATCTTGTGTCCTGCTTGTAAATATGTAATATATATATTGTATATTTCCCTCAGTATAGCAGTCACTTAAACACAATAAAAATGAGCCCTGCTTTACCTTCTTCCCTGTAACTTTGTTCTCAAGAGATTGACACCTAGTTGAGACGCTCACAATCTTGTTCTTGATTTCTTCCACCTCTCTGGCGGTAGCGGATATTGTCCTCATTGATGCTACGCCAGCCAGGTCCCCTCCTTTCTTACTGAACTGCTCTGATGGCAAAGCAGTCTTCTCATCTTTCTCCAGCCTTACAGTTTCAAGAGAGAGGAACTTCTGCCAAGGGATACAGATGAAAAGGTGGTTTCACTAATACTCAGCTACAATAAAGCACTACCCTGAGTAAAGCAAACAGCTGCAGCATCATCAGGTGGAGTGTACAGTACAGAGTGAATAACCTTGGCTGGTTGATTCACCCTAGGTTAACACTGAGTAGTTGTTTGACTAAGTTTACCTCCAGTAGCTTGTAATGTTCTGAATGCTGGCGAGACAAGTCAACCAGGGTCTTCTTCAGATAGGCATTCTCCTTCCTCAGGCTGCTGACAACCACATCAGGCTCAGAGTAGCGCTTTTTCTTGAGGAAACTTTTATTTTTGGAGGATGCCATCTCTGTTTCCTGTTCACAAATATTACTGACAAAATTAAAACATCACAAACGTCAGAACAGACAGTTTCAAACAAATACATTCTGAATGGGACCAAGTTTTGCTGATATTTGCAATCTCAGCAACTGAAAGCTGAAGAGAAAGGAAAAAAAATATCTTTTACAATTAGACCAACAATGAAGAAGTCTGCAATAAAGCTAATCTTTTAGTGTTGAGTTCCTGTTGACTGTCAGAGAGGCATTGATTCAAAACTCAATGGTATGTTAACATAATTTTTTTGCAGAGTTGTATTTCACTGGATATTCAACTGGATTTATATATTGAAAGGTGTCTGCTGTAACTGAAATTTTCTGAAGCCTTAAAGCAGCCTTGAATTTTATAGCTCAACTTTTAAGCCAAACATGCCCCAGTGCTCAGGCAAAATGGAAACGTCTACTTTTCAATGACAATGAGTCAATTCCATCTGCTGATGAAGATCGTGTGATATGATCAGAGAATGGCAACTAAAGAGTCCCAAAAGTGAGACTGTATAGGCAACAGCAAATGGCTAATGTTAGTAGCTAGCGTTAGCTAAGTAACTAATACACTTACTCAATGAGGATAGGACTGGGTTTAAAACTGGATACAGGAGGATTTAGTTTCTCAGCCACTAATGCTACGTTATTCCAAAAAAGGGCTAATTTATCTGTCTCACCCGGGAAGCTGTTTTTATTAGTCAATAACATCTACAAAGAGAAGATGACTCCAGGCAAGGTTAGCTAGGCTAGCTAATGTTAGCTGGAAGAAAAACAGTTTTAAACAATATTGTTAGCTAGAGTAAAGTCTTGAAAAGTAGAACAGACGTTAAACTCAACTCTTTTACCTTTCTAAAATTATTGTTTCGCGATGTCCATTGTAATTAGTGTTATTTCATATTTTGTTTCCTCTGCCGGACTGATAAACTGTTATTGTAAAATCACTGTGCGGTGTTCAAGGCCTAGGCAAACCATTCCGCGCGAAAATGCTTTTGAAAATAATATGCGTGCATCTTATCTTACCTAATTTAAGAAATCTCCTGGAAACTAAACTGTTTGCATATTTTTACTGTTAACATCTAGATTAGATTTCATTTCCAACAGCATAGATAGGAGGTATTATCAACACGACCACTGGGGGGCGCTGCACTCTAAGAGAAGAGTGAACTGACGCTGGTTTACCTGGAAGGTGATTAGATTAACCCAGAGTTCTGCACATTCATATGAAGCAAATTTTAATTGTAAGTATGGAGTATTTTTGAAAAGGTAATGAGGACGGTGGGCTATCCTGCACAGGTCACTTTTGTGTCTTTTCTACCCACCCAGGCTGGGTGGTGTGTTTCATGCCAGTGACTCATGTATGAGGCTGCCCTTCGGTATCCGCTGCTCTCCTCCACGCATCTGTGACTTTCAGTTCCTTTTGTGACGGCTCCTGGTCTCTCAGCGGAATATGATTTGTTTATAGGTATAAATTTGGACTTGTTTTTCTTGTTTTGGACTCAAAATGCTGCGGGTCATCGTTGAGTCCGCTAGTGGGATCCCCAAAAAGAAACTTGGAAATCCAGATCCAATAGCTGCTGTTGTCTTCAGAGGTGAGAGATGACTAACACTTTGGCTTTTTTTTCTCAGAAAACTGGTGTATGCTCTGTTAAGTCTTTTCTCTATCAAACTATCATATTTTCTGTCATCCTTTTGGTTTTGGACATTACTTTGCACTTAAATGTAGCAGCAGTTTATGCATCATTCCCTAGTGATTCATAAACAAAAGAGTGCATCCTTATAAGGTCAGAATTACCCAGAGAGCAGCTGCTTTTGGGGCCAGAAGGCTTGGTGTTTTTAAAATATATATATATATGAGATGCCTTCATGCATTAAGTGAGCCTATGTTCCAAGTTGTAAAATGCTTATTGAGTAATTTCTTTTTCATAGGAAGAAGCTTGATTGTGTGTTTAATAGGTCTTTCTTCTTTAATGTGGTAAGTTCATCAGTAAACATGATTTTCCTTTGTGTTTACAGGTGAAAAGAAGAAAACCAAAGCAATTGACAATGAATTGAATCCTGTCTGGAATGAAGTAAGTGGTGGGATTAAAGTGAGCTGTAATGTTTGAGATGTGTGACCCTGTTGATTTGTTTATTGACTTGAGAGCTGCTATTACTTTAATTAAAATTGCTGTATATTGGTGAGTGATTGTAACTGTCTATTCCTTATAATTACAGGTGCTTGAATTTGATCTGAAAGGCTCTTCCTTGGATGCTTCCTCATTCATCAACGTCGTAGTGAAAGACTATGAAACAATCGGCAAAGATAAGTATGTGTGCGACAAGGATCCCACAGAGAAACTGTCACATTTGCATATGTCATATTGTAATTGTGTTACTTAATGTTCTGGTGAAAAATCTGTGTTGTCCTAAGCCGCATAGGTGTGCTCATGACATTTCTTTTTGTTTTGGAGAGAGTGATTACATGACCCTTAGACAGCCTCCCAGTATGACAAATTACCAGTCTTTAAAACAAACTCCTGCCTTTGTGGAGGAGGACCTCTGAATAACAACCTCCCCTTTCTCCCCCCTGAAAAACCACACATGCATGTTATACTACGTAGAGCAGGTAATGACTGAAAGTGAAAACCTCACTGTGCAGAGGTTTAACTTTCATGTGATAATGCTTGTGTCTTAGCAGATGCAGCTTGATTATCAATATTACAACTACTGTACTATTTATTCTAACAGTGTGGTTGAAAATAGTTATTATGATCTTTTGCTAAGGAGCAGAGTAGGAGCAACCACAGGACTCACTGCGACCATGTTAAGACTTGCAGCGTCAGTAAAGAAGACGCTGTCTCCCTCACAAAAGTACTCCAGCTCTTACGGGAGGAATGCTGCCTTACAAAGAATGGAAAATCTAAGGCTTCCATGTATGTTATTTATTACTCTGCTTAATGGTCTGTTGTTTTTCAATATGTTAAGTATTTTGTAGAATTATGTGTCTGAGTCATTAGAGGGCATGCAAGAAGGTAGATAAGTTACTCTAGTGACCGTTTGTGTATAATGTAAATTATTTAGAGGCGGTCACAAGGGGTGGGGGTGGGGGTGGAGGAGTGTCTCCCTCAGCCACGCATGCACTTAGATATTTTTCCATGATCGCTGTCTGCAGCGCCTGAGTGGGGTGAATAAGAGAGCCTGCTCTGGCTTGTCATTGGCACATCTGTGATGACTGATAGCAGTTCAGCCTGTAATGCCTTGCAAAATGAACTTTATACACAGCACCAAGCTGATTCTGGTGGGAAAATGTTCAACTGGAAACGCAGACAACATTTTGTGACTCAGACAGCTTAACAGGGGTATTTAATCTGTGGTACCATCAAGATGAGCCACCTACAGCTGCTCAGGCTGGTGGAATCGACTGCTCTGTGTGCATAGCAAAAAAAAAAATTTTGTACTCCTAAGTTAGCTCTGTTTAAAAGTGAGGAAAATCATCCACTGGCTCTTTCATTGAAGAGAAAAGTCAGCTTTTTTTTTCTTCACTGGAGCAAATCTAAATACTTGAGACTAGACTGTTTTCTAGTTTCACAAGAGAGTTATGTATACAAATCTTAATCTCTATAAACTAGTCCCTGCATGTGGCTTTTGCAGTGGCAGGAACAGTGAATTGTCATTCCAGATTTCCTCCACAGCTGACCCTGCTTTTCGAAGCACAACCCAGTGTTTTTCAGCTCCATGTAATCATAAGTAATGACACAACTTTTGAGAACAAGAGAGAAGAAAGAGAGTGCCTGTGCATAATCCTGAATATGATTGTGCTGTTTTCATGTATCTCCTTAGTTCTACAGTATATTTTTACTCCTTTACGCTGGCCACAGAGCGCCCAGCACATGCCTGTGGTACATGTTAATTGTTTCCATCTCCCTAGTTTTTTTCTTGTGCACTTTTATTTTCCTGTGAAATCAGCTGGTCCTTGTCATGGAGTAAAGTCTCCTATTCGTTCCCTTGAAAGATGCTGTTGCTGCTCCTCAATGGCTATTTCACCAAAATTAGCCAAGCAAAGTGGATTTTGTCACTAGGATTTGTCACTGGGTGTTGATCAAATAAAAAATGAAACGTTGGACATGATGAATTATTCATATGTAATGTACATTATTGGTTCAGTATAAAATAAAATTCTCACTTTATATAAACTGCATAGCCACACCAACAGATGAAAGAAAAAAAAATAAGGTAAAAGAAACAGAACAAATTCCCCCATGAGCAAGCACTTGGCAAGCGCTCAATTTTAACAGGCGGAAACTCGTCTGATTTTCTAGATTCATTCATCTCTGCATCAGTCTAACTGTGTGGAGTTTGCTCTCTCTTCTTCCTTGCCATCCAGAGCCTGCCTGAGAGACTCCAAGAGGCAGGACTACCCCAACAACCTGCAAAATCTATTGTATGCCAAGTGTCTGTAACATTGTGAATGTTACTGTACCAGTGTACATTATATAAAAGAACAAAAATGGGCTTTTTAAAGGCTTAGTCAGGAGAGGCCCATGGGTTCTATACTTTTTGATCACTTGGCTGCCCAAAGTGTACCAAATTGTTTTTTTTGATCTCTTGGAATAGAATTTGAACACAAAGTACATCTTGTGTACATTAATGGAGGCTGTGGGTGCACAATGTAATCTTTGGCAATGGCATTTAACAGATTCCAAATGCACAGGAGAAAAAGCAATTAAAAACAACTACATTGCACCTTTTGTATAAAAATGTAGCTAGTAAACAATATGTCTTACCTTTGATATACACTGCACAGGATTTTAATAAAAAGATTAATAATATACATAAATAAAAGTTCCTCGGCTGTAAATTATGAAGTTTGGCTATCAGCTGTAGGCTGACATGAGCATCAAAGCCTTTTTGTTGAACATTAGACTTTTATTGGCAATAAATTTGAGCAGCTGTGGGCTGATCTTGGTAACGTCACCGGTGCTTTTGGGTCCAAATAAGGATGAGCT